GGGAAAAGAAGGCCCATCCCAAACATGAATTGTTTCTAGAAAGGAGAATTTTCTTAACATAATACGACTAAAATTTGTTAAGCCCTACTAAACACAATTATATGTGAGTATATCTATAGAAAGGTTGATCGTACGTATTAGTTGCCCACCCAAAACAAAACAAAAGGACTTGCTCTTATTTAAGGGCCCGAGGCAGTAGTCTTTTGTATTTTAGAATTTCTTATTGACTAAATCACTATTTTGTCTTTATTTGTAAATTTAATTACTTAATACTCCTAACTTTGATGACTCGGGATCTTCATGATTAAACTAGTTGCCTAATGTCCCTTTTGTCTTTGTTCTTTACTTTATTTTTCCCTTCGATAACATTATTTTGTTTTTTATTTCTTTTCATTTTTCACATTTTGACGGGGTTGATAGCTAGCACTGATTTACTTTTTGGCTGATGCTATATATATTTATTATTCATTATAAATATACCATTGTTACAAAAATGGAACAAATTCAAATCAAAATTTTCGTCAGAAAAGAACTCTGATAAATGGGTGGTACATCGGAAACAACAAATCTAACGTACCACACTCGATGCTAACAAAATCTACTTCTTTGCTGCAAAGATAACGATCTCAAACCATTGACTGGAGTTAGCGCTCCCCACCATTAACCAAAGCATCGATTCGTTGTTCCCAAAACTTATCTCCCAGAGTAAACCAGATTTATCACAAGTGATATTTCTCTTAGGAGACAGACATAACTCATCCACGTTTGACATAAATGCATGTTTTCCAATTATATCTTAATTTATGTTATTTTAGTTAAATCTACAAACAACAACAAAATGCTATATGTATCATGCGTAGGCAATGAGGTTATAAAACATGTTCAAATGATTAACATTGTCATCCAATATTCTTTTTTTTTCCTAAAAACACCACAAACACTATCATTCATTTTTAAAGGATACATCTAATGTTTCTATTTTAATATATCAAAAAATGTGTATACTTTTCCGAGAGTAAGCTTCAATCCACCGTAAAACCAATACAGGTTTAGCTAATGCCGAAGCAACGCCCAGCATTATTCAGCCGTAAATCATAATGACGATAACTAATATTTAATATCAGATTGTGTGCATTGGCATGGTTAGAGGTGTTCTAATTTTTTCTTTTCTTAGACTATGTACAATGGTTTTAAATTACAACACACTACTTTTTACCTTTTAACATTCCACATCATCATCTCTTTTCCACGTCATAATTCAACACTCATTTTACTTTTATATTTTACAATGATTTTAGAAAAATATTTCATAATTTTAATTTTATGTTTTTATTTAGTGATTATACATATTACTAAATAAACTTTTTGATTAAAATTATATTTTTTATTATAAAATAAATAATATAGTAAAAAATATGAATTTTTTTTCAATGTCCAAATCAAATTAAACAAGTCTCTATCTATAGAATATGAAAAATGATGAATTTTGGTGTGAATTATTTATGTATATAATATAATATAGTATAAAATAATTGAGTCTAAGTAATTGAGATAAAAAAAAAATCAAAAATCTTAATAGCCAATGAAAACACAGCACATGACAAAGAATACCCCACCCAACCAAAATTCACGGTGTTGATAAATTACAACACCAAATTTGCCACATCCTTTACAACGTTTATTAAAACAACCATTGCACTATTTTCAACTGTTGAATATTTTTATCAACATACCCATTTTTAGCGGAGGTGTTCTCAGATGTTATAATTTATTTAAGATTTTGTCACCTCCCACAAGTCAGAGAGAGAGTGAAGGACAGAAGGAGCAAAGGTCATCATCGTAGGTGAAAATCAAGAATAAGGATTAGCACCAATAGTCCAATTATTGTTAAGTTGTTGTCTTTCACTCTCGAGCCTTGTGCTCACCTTTCTTCTCGCTGCATCTATCTCTCTCTCCTATCTCTTTATATATATATATATATATATATATATATATATATATATATATATATATATATATATATATATCCTAGTCAATCATTCTTCTCACTAACAGTATTTTCCCGACAATCTTCTCAATGAGTATATTGTTATTCCTTCCGTTCCAAAATATAAGTCGTTTTAGCTAAAACATGCCGATTAAAATGATATAGTTTTTAAAAGTTCAGTCCATCATAAAAAAAACTGCATAATAAAAATAATCATAAAATATTAAAGTAATATATAGTTTGCATAAAAACTTGAAAACGATTTATATTTTGAAACAAAAAAGTTTCTCCAAAACGCCTTATATTTTGAAACGGAGGAAGTACAAAATATCTATACGCACTGTGTTTATAAATCTTAGTCCAGGCTTTTTAAGTAACTAATGTTAGGGTTCGATACCAATTTTTTTTTTGTGGAAAACGATCTAAAGTACAAAAAATGAAAGCACCCAAAATTTGTAACAATTCATTTTTAGTGTGAGAGTAATAATCAGTTTCCACCAATGCAAATTAACTGTGATCAGAAATTTAGGATTTATAAATTTGTCTCTCTTTATTTAATCTAGAACAAACCGAGGTGATAAAAAATTAAGAAATTGAGAGATAATTTTAGGAAACGCAAATTATAATGAGAGTCTAACATGGTCACTAGAACCCTTTATAAAAAAAACATGGTCACTAGATTTTCACAATGTTAACCTCTACAATTGAAAAGTTAAAACGAATGACATTTGTTACTAATACCGCTACTAATATTGAACTCAAGCTAACCTAAATTAAATACATATGGGTGCTAAAATGTTCGTTTAAATTACTTAGAGACGATATTTAACCCAAACTAAAATGTTCGTTACAGTTTTATTATTTCCTTATAAAAGTTGCAATTTCACAAATCATTGTCATGTTTTTTTTTTAAAAAGGTCTGAAAACAAACATATGCCACGTCAACACGTTTTACTAATTAATATACTTCTTAAATAATATATAGAGGGGATTACTATTAGGAAAAATGATAAATTTTCACAATTATGCCTTTGTGACCATCATTTTTGCTAAAAGCTAAGTTATAACTATGCTCTTTCCGCGAGAAACGGGTTTTGTCTTGTTGAAGAAAAAGGAACGAAGTGACGCAAAGCGTCTTCCTAAAGCTAAGTTATTCGATTTACTACGTTGAGCATAAACTTTATCCAATACAATATAAACGCATTATACAAAATGCGATCAGTACTTTAGAGATTAGACATACTAATTTCTACTTTCTACAATGGTTCTACTATCCTACTACTACGGTCTACGAACACATTATATTGAAATTCGCGTGCATTTACCAACTGTCCAACTTCATATGATTTTCCTATCGTATATGTATATAAAACAAGCATGATAAGGTGATGTGATTGTAACTGCCTTACTGTGGTGGAATACATGACAAGTTAAGTATAATAAGGAAGTCTAATTCTGAAACCCTAGGCGACGAACACTGCATGCCAATAGTAGAAACAGTACGTACGATCACGAGATCAAACTTATACGTACTTTACTTTCTTAGGATCCCTCCACTTGTAGGCACTAGCCCCTTGCCACGTGGTCCCCCTCCATTAGCTTTATGGGCCTCATAAAGCCCGTGGGGCCCGAACTCACATCCATGCACATGCTTCACATTATGCTCTACCTATGTATCAATGTGTATATATAAATACTAATGTTCATCAATACGCATTTAAGAATGTATATATAAACGTATAATATAATAGGCCTATATATGCCTTTTTAAGGAGAAGACCCGCCGAAGAAAAGACAGCGTTGTGGTCTCCACGAAGGTTACAAAGGCTCATTGTCACGTGACCACCACCATTCTTATTTGTGTGTATATCATTATCTATATCTACATATTATATAGCTCACATGTATAACTACGTTTATTTTCTAGAATTTGGCTAGTTTTTTATTAGTAGTAGACTGTTCACGAATCTTTAGCACTATACAGCTATACTCTAGTCTCAGAATAAAAGTAAGTGAGTTGGCTTATTTGATCTATTGAAATTTAATTAGTAGTTCTAAACACTAAAACTATTATATTTGCATCAAATAGTAGTACATACAATAATTGTATGAAACCCATTGCGGACTTGGCCTCCAGCCCAAATTTGGGCGTCAGTGGTAATATATATCATGTGGGCATCACTTATGGGCCTAACTATAAAAGCCCAATAACTTTGAAAAGAAATCTTAATTAAACAGAGTACAGTAAAACCTCTATAAATTAATAATGTTGGGACTAGCAAATTTTATTAATTTAGAGAGGTATCAATTTATCGATAAATTAATAATTATTAATTTATAGAGAGATTTTACTAATTTTGTAATTTTTTAAAAACATTTCTATCTAAAACTAATTTTTTTCTTTATAAGTAATATTTTTTAAAAACTAATTACAAGTAAAGAATAAGTTTTAGAAAACAACACAAACTTTTTTTGAATATTAGAGTCATATTTTGTTAAATTTTTTACATAGAATATGTTAAATATATATCATACTAATTCAAATATGACATATATAAATTTATATCATATATATATATATATTGATAAATTTATACAATTATTAATTTATGATATCGATGGGACCATATGTTTATATGAGATTTTCAAAAAAAATTATTATCTTATTAATTTATCGATTTATGTCATATTTTACACTAGTCCCAACTCGGGACCGGAAGAGTTTATTAATTTAGAGAGGTTATTAATTTATAGAGGGTTTACTGTAATAACTAATATGAGAATAGAGATTTTAATTGGGAAAAATGTCAAAAAAATCATGAACTTTCAAATTTGGGACGATTTAATCTTGGACTACGATGAAGACATTTAAATCATAAAAAACCGAATTACATACGGTTTCTATATGGTTTCACTTTCTACAAAACGAAAAAACGATACTAAACTGAAAAAATGTACCCCACCCCTAATATTTTCTCATCAAACAAAATAAAATAAAATAAAAAATCCTTATATGTCATTGTATTATGTAAAGAATTATTAAATTATACTATAAAACAAACAATAATCCAACTTTATATAAATATTTAAAAATTAAAATTTCATCCGTGCTGTTCCAGCACGGGTTATGATCTAGTTTCTTGTATAATAGGATAGAACTTCTTTAGAACCGCTAGATAAAGGAGCGTTGAGATTCTCTCAAAAATTTACACTTTCAGAACTAACAGATCGATGGCATTGTCTTCTTTACAATACCAAAGTCACATCTCTATCTTAATCAGTCAGATTTGACCTCCAATAAGGAGCTCAATTCGTTCCACAAAGTCATTATCATTCAATACCAGTCAGAAGTCAGTTCTACACTGCGCGAAAAAAGGAGGCCTTTGGAGTTAGAGGAGTCTCTTAAAGTCAATAACAATGCCATTGATGATGGACATCTTAATGTGGAGGAAGATATTATGTTTGGAGAATGTGATGATTTTGATTTCAAGTATGAGGACATTGAATTTTTCGCAAAATTTTCCCAGATATTATGCTATCGACTCATGATTATCAACGAGATGATTATTAGACAACAAGGTTTGGTAAATGATAATGATGATGATGATGATGATCGAATCGTGGATCAGATGTTAAACATTAATGATGAACAAACTCATGATTGTTATGTAACAGTAACAACAACAACAACAACAACAACAACATAACATGTTATGCTTCAAGAAGTGTTTTAACAACCTAACACATCCTTCAATGAGCCAACGTCACAGTCAAATCAACAAGTAATCCGTCATCAAGCAGAGACTTGGATTCCTCTAAAGTCTTATCAAGATTTTCCAAGCAGCATTATGTTATTGTGTTAATTGAATCTACATCCAGAAATCGTTAACGGTGTTATCAATTGTGTTATAAACTGTGAGTCCGATGAGATTCCAAATAACGATGACATCAACCTGCAACTGTACAATCATAAAGCTCGAAACTCGGTTAATCCTTCATTATCATCATTGAGGAAAAATATGAAACCACCTCTGCCTCCAACTAGAGGATCATCATCACAAGCCAAAGGCAATGGCATTATCAACAGTTATGGTTTTGGAGATTGTGCTATCACAACAAGAGCAAGTTGTTCTTCTGCATTCAATTATAGCTTTACGGAGAAAGCAACATTTACTATTGCTGCAACAACTTCATCAACTCTACAACACTCAAGAGAATGAAACTTGTGAACACACATTGAGTGTAGAGATGAATATAAATGTTCAAGAGGAGAATAATAATGAAATTGAGAGTGATAAAGATTTGCCTTCCTTTTCAGATCTTTGAATCTATGGTATAAACTCTTACAAGTCAGTGTAAATTTTTGTCTTTTCTTGGTTAAATATACTGAAACTGTGTTTTTTTTTTTAACCAATCAGATTCTTGACATGGACCTTGAACCGATTGGTCAAGACTAGTACGAGTTGGAAGGTAAATAATAAGCTGTCTCTTAAATTGTAATTTTGCCATTTGTTGTCTCTAATGTAACAACATGCTATATACTGATGACTATGTATGTAGCATGCAGACATCAGAACGAGGAAATTGTGTGAATGATAATGAGATTAGAGCAGAGTATTGAATCTTAAATGAACCGTGACATTGCTTCTCATGGAGTTTTCTCTCTTCATGAGAAGCTCTAAGCATTACATTAATAAAGAATCTTCTTGAGATGCTTAATTATAGTAATTAATTGATTCAATCAAACTAAAAACATTTCTAACATTTCAGGTGTTACTTGGGAGAGCAACATGAGAATATCCAGTAGATATCGATTTAGGAAGATCATCAGAATCTGAAATAAGATTCTCTTGACGACTGATGATAACACCATTCATAATATATATTAACGTCTATTAATTTTTATACATTTTGATGGATAGTTTATAAGTAGGAGTTTCATAGAAATTGATGGAACTAGGCTCTAATAAAGTTGAAGCAAGACGGATGTTTTGAAATCAAGAATCTTGGAAAATTTTCGATACGGATGAAGGAAGAAGAAATTGGTCATAGAGAAGTTGTCATTCTCAAGAACAGTTGCTTAATTCAGGTCAATTTATTTCTTAAGTCTTTAGTTTTAGCTTTTGCTCACTTCTGTTTCAATATGTTATGATCAAGAAACCGAAACTAAACAATTTATTTTATTTATTTTTTTTGGTGCAGATATGAGAGAAGTCGTTCATATTCGAGACGAATGAAAAAACAGTCAAAAAATATTTAGATGGAATTCACAAATGAGATCATATATATTATAAACGTGGTAGAGGTTTTATGGTATTAAAGTTGTATGATAATCGAAACTTTACACGTGAGTTTGGTTGATAATCAAAATCTTATGGGTGATTTAAAAGTTAGTTTGATCTTTTCGTTGATTTTTTTCAATTACACATGACGAAAATAGTCAAATACAGTGAAATGAAAAGGAGAGAAAAACAAAATTCGAATAATATCGATGAGGATCTCTGAGGTGTATTATATTGATGCAAAGAATGGGCAGTGAAGTGGATTTGAAAGATGGTGATTGATTGCCCAATTTTTGTTTTTGAGGTATTAAACAAAAACTCCCGTTTGATTTAGATATTTTTTTTTATACTGGTAGTCCCATGACGATATAAATATATTGTCACCAAATATTTAAACTGATATTTTGTGAATTATTATTGCCATCACTTAAGAGTTGAGACAATTATTGATTTATATTTTGTTTTGTTATATTAAACTGTATATATTTTAGTTTTAATATATATTTTTGTTAATTGATTATTGACTATAATAATGTTAATTAAATATAACATTATTTTAGTTTTCATATAGCGAAACCACACGTGACTAAAATGAAGTATGCATATAAACTATTATATATACATTGTATAGTGAGAATTTATATCCAACTAAAAAAAATCTTGCAACTCTATGTAGAAAATAATAATAATGTTAAAGCCTTTTTTATAGTAATTTTATATATCTATGTCTCTACAATTATTCCAGAAAATATAAATGTTGTGCCGTACGAATATAGGCTGGCCGGTTATACAAATTAGAGCAAATATTTCATCAAGATGGAATTTTATTCTCAGTTCTGCTATATTTTTCAGCAATTAGAAAGAAAAAAAGGAATAAAATTCAGCCTTGTTCTTTAACAAAAAACAAAAAAAAAATCAGCCTTGTTTGCTGGAAAAGTTGAAAAGGATAAATTATAAATGAAATGTTTACTCTACAAAACATATGAAGAAAAGAGTTTCTCTAATATTCATTTCCTTTCTTTTAATAAATATAATAACTTTATTCAGCTTTTCTCTAATCTTCATTTTCATTTCCACTTGTTTTTTTCTTTCAGACTTCACTTATCACCAATTTTTGGAATGTGAAATTCTATTTTCTTTACCAGTTAAGAAAAAAACATTTTGGAGATTTTGACATGATATACATTGAACCATTATTTCTCATAAGTTTGTCATAAACAAAAAATCGTCGTTTAAATTATTTTTTTTAAGTATTGAGTAGTAATTGAAAAAGCCATAAAAGAATAGTGCAAATCCATTGGTAACTGTGATGGCACTTTCTTTCCTCGCTTCAGATTATTGGCGTAAGCGATTACGTATTTTTGTTCAACCACAAATGTGGTAAAGCAGAGAATTCAGACTGTTATGCACTTTTACACAAAATATATGTTCCAGTTTAATTATCATTTTTTAAAAGTTAATATTAGAATGTTGGGTTTGTCATCATAATTTTATATTTATTAAATGGTCCCTGTTTTCGAATTCATCCTTCAAAAAAATATGTCAAATAATGTGGGGGTATATTCATAAACTATTGAAAAATATATAATATAGTGGTCCAACCAAATAAATTCGTTTAATAAAGAACATTATTAAATCGCTGTTAAGAGTCGAGAGGTTTCGATATTGTCATCCCCACCTTCTGCCCATTCAGATCCAACTAATTTCCTTATTTCATTCTACAAATAATTTAAAACCAATGAGATAGTTATTAATTTCTATCATCGTGAAATTATTTTGATGAAAAAATGATTGAAACCAAACAAATTGTTTTGGCTTAAGATAAATTAAAAGTTAAGGAAGTGGGTGACCTAGTCGGAGTTTATTGTGTGGAGCTTCGAACAACGTACGAGAGACACGACGGACCAAACGAGCCACGTGTTGTCTCTCTTCTGTGCCCATCCCTTCTTCTATCAAAAGTCATAAAATTTAGTTTCAATGTTAATAATATGAAATCATGAAATACCTGATTTCAATTTTCATTTAATTTATTAACATCATCCAGCCTGCCTGAAATAATACTAAAACAACAAACAATTGAGTTTGACCCAATTTTAGTTTGCCGTGATCTTATGATTTATAAATGTTTTTCGCCATGATTATCCACTTGATCAACGTAGTACATGAAATGAGACTGTGACGTCGGACCCATTTGTTCCCTAGCACACATCAAAAGTTATAACTATTCTACTAATCTTGCGTTAGCCGCTGTTTCACTTGGAGACTGTATTATGCGCTCGAATATTAAGTTTAAAAAATTGTCTAAAATAATCCACACTGCTGCACTGTATCTCGACTCAAAATATCTTTGTATCACACATGTTAATTTCCTGATTGGCACAAATTTCTTTATTATCTTTTGAAGGAAAAAAAAATAAATCCTACATTAACCTGTAATCACAGTGAAGGGGGCAGTAAGACGGAAATGTATTTTTAAATGTATATATATATACATATATGTATTTATATAGGAGTATAGGACTATCAGCTATGATAAAGAATTCTACATGTCCTTCACTGGATATTTTTTAAGAAACTTTTGATCCCATTAATTTGTATAATTGGTATTTTTGAATATGGAACTTAAGACATGCCACAAAAACATTTATAAATTTTCTTTTTTTTCTGGGTGTGAATTTATAAATTCTTGATTAACCACTACAACAATCCAACAATGCGACAATGGTGCTTCCACGACTAAAAGGTACTATGGGAGCACATACATGGATGATTGATTCTTAAGATTATAAATTTATCATACTTTTTTTTTTTTTTTCGTCTAAATTTTTCCATTATATTATACGATTGAGAAATACAAGGGTGGAATACGATTTTAATACACAAAGCCGGCGGAAAACAAAGATATCCTCAGAAACTAAACCCAAACGAAGGAAGCATAAAAAAGAACGGAACATAGCCCTCAACAGACGAAACAAAAGGCAACGACTAAAAACAAGACCTCTAAATAAGAGATTTGGTGATTTAAACTCCTCTAAACCAAGATGATCAAAGCCACTCACAAACAAGACTTTATCATACTTTCCTCCAGAAAATATATTATACTTGGAGGCTTCCATATGGGTTTAAAGTTTCTTTAAGCATACGCCTTTAGTTAATTGGAGAATCTTTTATTCTTTAATATACTACTTTTTCAGGGATATAATTTAGTAATTTACAAGATACAGTTCTACTAGATTTCACTCCTGAAAAAGCAAACTTTATAATCTTTGGTTGTTACTTAATATCTATACGAACCAATTGATATCTTTTTACTTTTTAAAAACCATTTAAGGTTTTAATCATACTGAAAAAAATCCATTTTGTCTCCATTTACTAGCTAGGTTTCATAAACTTGGAGTAAATTAATAACAATTTATATATGTATTTCGTTCTGCTTCCACGGAAAGAATTCTTTCGATCGATCAAATTATTTTATTTTTAGTATAGAATGAATTTGATAGAAATTTCAAATATATAGCATTTTATAGTAAGCGTTAAGGTTTTACACGTAAAATTAGTTTTATTAGGATGTCAGATCAGGTTTAACCAAACAGAATCAGAAAACTAATTTGAAAACCCTCTTTGAACATAAACCAATTCAGTTGATTTTTTGTAAGTTGCTGTAACTGAAGCTGAACCCAAAAAAAGAAAAGAAATAATTTATCAAAACTCTTTTATCAAGCTAAACCAAAAAAAAAAAAAATAGACGTATCAAACCAAACTAAATGGCATTTGGTTTTCATTGCATTTATAGATATTTGAACTGAAATTAGGGAAAGGTAATTTTAGTTGTCATACAAGGAAACCACTGAGACATATTTTAATTATTTATGTAAAAGGAAAGAGTCCACTGGTCAACTTGGTTCGGGTATCATCCACTTCCAGTGCAAAGTTCTTCGGGCTTCCACTATAATCTTCTCAACAAAGATAACACAATAAAATATAACAAGAATGATATTCATATAGCTGGAAATGGAATTATAACTATGTTTAATCTTATTCTCTATTTTGGAGTTGATGGCTTGATGCATGACGGCACGAACTATAATATACATGGAAGTTGAATAAACAAGAGATCAATCGGCTAAAAAGCCAGGTTGTTCTATTTTTTATTAATCCAAATTCTAGGTTTTTTTCACAAAAAAAAAATCATATTAAAAATTAATTATAGGTATATTATTTTTGCGATTAACAATTTTCCACATTTTTAAATTAATAATACTTTATTTCTGTTTTTGCAGTCTAGAAATCATCATTGATAACTAGTCAAAAATACATAGAAAATTTAAAATTTGTGTATTTTCGCAATATTTTTTTGTTTTTCTTAGGGGACGAATCATGGAAACAACATGCTAGTATTATCTTTCTTTATTAGTTAGTTTTAAATATATAACTAATTAGTAGATGATACGTATATATATATATATAGATACATACAAAATATTGAGAATTTTATATAGTATATAATTTAAAACACATTCCAACATGAAGTAGATTTGATTAAGACTTGTCAAAGATCCGACCCAAAATTTCATATTGAAAAATCGTGTAAGAAATCTCGTTTCAAAAATTTGATTAAAATCTTTAACAAAAAAAATAATAATCAAAGATATGATAAAATCTAATGTAATGTCACGTAAATATTTATATTTTACCTTTTGTTTGTTTACATATTGTCTAATACAATCCATGTTTCCTAATATATTATAAAGTAAAATCGATCATCTTAATTCTGATGTATATGTTTTGACATAAGCCTACGTATAGGAATATGATATTAGGAGAAAAAAAAATACTGTTTTAAACTTGTTGAATTGTTCACATTTCTTAATTAAATTAGTCAATCTAAACACCAAAAGTAAAGTTTTAAGAGTTAAATCTTTAGGCTATATTTAAAAGGAGAACACTTAGGTGTTCTTAGCTTTTTAAAAATAGAAAATATTGTGAATAGTGTTAGATCTGTTGTAGATCTGTTCTTGTTGTAGAACTGTTCTTGGCCCAGTTTTAGCGTGACGTGGCGCTTCATCATTGGCTACGAATTTTTGCAAAGGAAAAAAACATTTCATTTCTCCTTCGATCCGAAATCTATGCTAGGGTTTAATTAAATAATATGTTTGTTTGTTTGTTTTTTTATTTATATCTTTAATGTTCTTTTTTGTTTCATAAAAATTTGATATTATATTTTGTGTTTCTTTTTATTTTCAAATCTATTTTAGTATAAGTTTTTTAAGTTTGCAATTTAGAAGTTATTTCTTAAAGTTTTTAAAATTGTAAACTAATGATCTTACATTATTTCAATTTCAAATAAATTCCTATGATCTAAACATGTTCTACCAATAATCACTTACTTTACAAAAGATCTTAATTAAAGCTCTTACAATATTTTAATATTTTTTCTCCTTTAAAATCAAACTTTAAAGATGCATCCCTTGCATATGCCTTACATGCGATGTAAGTTGGTGAATAATGGTTTAGAAGTGAGTTTGTTACATCATTTTTAGTTTTCATTATGTAAATAGATATAGTTGTCTACTTCAATTTTTTTGGTAGGCGTCTACTACAATTTTGTGTTTCCAATAATTCAATAAAAGGAGGATTAGGCAGATATTTTATTCATAAGCTTAATTTGGTACAATTTTAGTTCTAAAAAAAATGAACGCACATCAAATCAAATCCACCTAATTACACTACCATTAGTTCATTTAAATACATAGTTCTTTTTTTATTTTGCTGGAAAATATAATTAGTATGGAACAATACCTCTCAGTCAACTCTCAAGTCTCAATATCTCGCAGTGTTTTGTATTAAACAAAGTAATAATTAGTTTTTTCTTTTCCTTTTGAAGGTTACTTGACTTCATGCCTTCATGGACATATCATATAAAACAAGAACTAATTTTCTAGGAAAAAAAAAAGAAAAAGATAGATATGATTAAAACCAAAAAAAATCTTGAATAAAATGGGGAACTCGTCCCCCGTCTTTTACCACAAAAAGAAAAACGAAAAACCAAAAAAAAAAAAAAAAAGAGAGATATGATTGAGAAAAAAAGGAAAGAAGGAAAAAAGGAGATGATATTACATAAGTACCCTCTTACATTACTCCATAAGAGAAGATCTCACATCTCTCCCCTATCCTTTTCAACTACCACTCTCTCTCTCAATCCGATCGATGAAGATCAGGTGCGACGTCTGCGATAAAGAAGAAGCGTCGGTGTTTTGTACCGCCGACGAAGCATCTCTCTGCGGCGGCTGCGACCACCAAGTCCACCACGCTAACAAACTCGCCTCTAAACATCTCCGGTTCTCTCTCCTCTATCCTTCTTCTTCCAACAACTCCTCTCCTATCTGCGACATCTGTCAGGTTCCTTTCTAACTTCGGACATGGTTTTTGTTGTCTTAAGTCAATCGTTTTTGCCGATCAAGAATCTGAAACTTGTTCTTTTTGTTGAACTCTAGGATAAAAAAGCCCTGTTGTTCTGTCAACAAGATAGAGCTATTTTATGCAAAGATTGTGATTCATCGATCCACGCAGCGAACGAACACACAAAGAAACACGATAGGTTTCTTCTTACAGGGGTTAAGCTCTCTGCTACATCTTCTGTTTACAAACCTACTTCAGAGTCTTCTTCTTCAAGCAACCAAGATCTCTCTGTTCCTGGATCATCAATCTCTAATCTTCCTCTCAAGAAGCCTCTCTCAGTTCCTCCTCAGAGCAACAACAACTCCAAGATCCAACCCTTTTCGAAGATCAGCAGCGGTGATGCGGCGGTGAATCAGTGGGGATCCACAAGCACGATTTCTGAGTATTTGATCGATACGTTACCTGGTTGGCACGTTGAAGATTTCCTCGATTCATCTCTTCCTACTTTTGGTTTCATCAAGGTTTGTTAATTCTTATCTCTTTAATCAAGAAAGATCCAAGTTTAGTTGATTCAAGATTTGACAATGACTCTTAGAAGATCGAAATTTTATTTCCTCTGTTTACGTAATATCATATCATTTCAGATCTAATGAGGTATTAAAAAGGTAAAAAACTTTATAGATGTGGATAGATCTTTTTGCTATTTAGGGTATTTGTATAAAATTTATGAAAAAAAAGAGTTCTTTTCTTGTGGGTTATCTTTTGTGTGATTGCAGAGTGGTGATGATGATGGAGTGTTACCATATATGGAAGCAGAAGATGACAACACTAAGAGAAACAACAACAACAACAATACAGTGTCACTTCCATCTAAGAATTTAGGGATTTGGGTCCCTCAAATTCCACAAACTCTTCCTTCTTCATACCCAAATCAATACTTTTCTCAAGACAACAACAATACACAGTTTGGGATGTACAACAAAGAAACAACACCAGAAGTAGTGTCTTTTGCTCCATTACAAAACATGAAACAACAAGGACAGAACAACAAGAGATGGTATGATGATGGTGGCTTCACTGTCCCACAGATTTCTCCTCCTCTTTCTTCTAATAAAAAGTTTAGATCGTTCTGGTAATTTACTATCTCCCTAAATGGGGCTTTTGTTTGTTTGTTTCTCCATTTCTCTCAACTTCGATCTTAATAGAATTAGGCTCTCTCTATTTTTGTGTTCTGTTTTTTTTGTAAATTTGAGTGTGATTGAGGTTTTGGTGTTTTAATCTTTGTAATAATCCTATATTCTCTTTCCGTTAATGCAAATGTTTCTTGTACAAACGCCCATGACTTGTTTTGTAATTTTTTTTTATTTTTTTTTAACAACGTTTTGTAAAATTTCTTCTATTTTTCATAGAAAGAAAATAGTTATTTACAATTATAACCTACATTATTTTTGCTTTCTCAAGGAAAAGCAAGTCAAACTGTAAAGTAAAGTTACAAATTCGATGAATGAAATCTAGTGGTCGTATATTTTAGTATACGAGGGACCGTCTTTTTCATCGTCTGCCTCTTCAGTCCCCATAACCCATATGGGGAGAGGATTGTTCTTGGATTTGGTTTGTATTTAAATAATATATCTTAGGAAATAAAGATAAGAAAAAGAGCATATAATGGAGACAAATTCACAATAACGTGCCCATCACCATCGGCATATTTTGTTTGTGATTGAATATGCCTACAGGCTACAGAGAGCTCTGATGATCTGATGACTAAGGAGTATGGACACCTCATCATGGCAGGCAAAACATATATTTAAATAAAATAAAGTACCGACTCGTCGTTTACTTGTTTAATTTACCAAACTAAAATGGTACAAAAAGAAGTAAGAAAATAACTAAGTGGTAAGATGGAAGACCTTGTGGTGAGCTTCGAGAGCTTCGTTTAGTCTCGAGACAAGATTTGTTTGGTCTTTGCAATGTTTTTTCGAAAACTCCCTTCCTCGTTGTAGGTTATGGGTCGAGCATTGTGTCTCTTTGAAGTTTAATCTCTTCTTTACTCAGGTGTATTGTAACATTTCCGAATCAATATCAATATAATTCAGTGAAAAAAAAAAAAAAAAGTAAGATGGAAGACGAAGAAGAAAAATAAGGGTCATCTTCGTTGTGTTTAGCAGGCCCAACTAATTGAGGCCTATGCTTGATTCCTAGATATCAACCATCCGCTTTGCATATGGTTAATACTTGATATTAATGTTTTTACTTTTTACTCCCTCTGCTTTTTACTCATTGTTTTTAGGTGGTGGCAATGGCAAAGGCATTATCTAAAAGACTTTTGATCAAATAGCCGGCAGCCAAAAATTATGCTGGTAAAAGATGAATGATTAAAGTCTTGAGTCATGAATGCTCCCGATAAAGATTTCATTTCAACTTTTCGATCGAAGACTCTTTTCTATGGTCGTATATTTTGATAATGTCTCGCAGTCTTTTCCACTTTCATTTCTAACTTTTAACCTAGTTAGATGCAGTGATCAGAATAAACGGGATAACTTTTATGAAACAAGTAGACATACAGTACAATATATATATATATGAAGAGATAGTACATTGGTCATTGTCATACTCTAGAATAGAGGCTGATATCTGGTTGACACATTTTCTTTTTGGTCAATACTGACTGTTGTATAAGCTCCGGATACTAGTGTGAATTCTAATTGGTTAAGGATTCCAAATTAGTAATAAAAAAACAATCACTCAAATATTAATTTTCTTGCGCAAACAAATGATTATAGTTCTTAAAGTTAATTATAATTGTCACTCAAATAGATCCGATCGTCAAAAAGTTGGAAGCCATACGAAAAATTTGATATTCGTTTTCAAAATATGTGAAATAATATCTAAATAACTGCATACATGATTAGATGAACAACAATAAACGCTAACATAATTTGAATATTATTTCTTTTTCAGTATTATAATTTTGATTATAAAAAAAGGCCCACATTTTTTCATGATTCGTACTTCAGTTATTATTGGGATTCTTATCACAAATCAGTAAAAATATTCATTGTATATGCTAATTTAGCGATGACCCCTTTTGTTTGTTTAGACTCTTTGCTTTTCCACAACATAATTTTCTCTTTCAGATTTTTACTCTTCATATTATTCTTCTTTTTAACAAATGGAATCCCCGTATCTTTGGGAGCTCCATACAAATATTTCAAGTTAATGTGCTCAAGACCGGCTTTGTGTTCAAATACAGTAAAACAAAACCGACAATTTTTTCAAAAGATGTTCATTATAGAAAGCACAGAAAAGCTATCTTTTACATTGGAGATTGAAAGGCAAAAGAAAAATCTCATATGGGAATTCTTTTATGAACTTTTAGTTCATTATAGAACTCAAAAAACAAAACAAAAACTAGATGGGATCCTAATATAATGGCTATTTTTTCCATCACCCCAGAAGCCCCAAAATATTTGTTAGAAAGAAAACCCTAAGAAACAAGGGTACAGAGAAAGAGAATGTATGATGAATTGAACCCAAAAAACACATAAACCAAACAAACCAAAAAAAAAAACAACCCAAACAGAACCAAGAAAAAGAGAATGTATGATGAATTGACAAAAAGATCTATCTCTCTAGCGACGGCAATGAGGTTTGCAGAGAAATAGACAATCGTAAAAACAAAAACCTCCACAATGTTGAGGACATTCCAATCTCTTTCCTCTACATTTTCCTCTTCCTTTGCACTCTGCATATTCTCTTTTCACAAACTCTCCTCTTCCTTCTCTTCCTTTTCCTTTTCCTCCGCCGCCACAACCCCATTTGTACCATCCTCCACCACCTCCTCCTCCTCCCCATCCCCATCCTCCTCCACCACCACCACCACCTCCTCCTCTTCCACCACCACCGCCTCCTCCTCCTCCTCCTCCTCCTCCGCCGCCACCACCCCATCCCCATCTGTAGCTTCCGCTTCCTCCACTATAACTTCTTTTCTTGTCCTTGAGAACTACTTCAGTGGTTGTGTTGTTATCATCATTGTTATTGTTCTTGACCGTGTCTTGATCAGTGGAACGGTCATGCCCACTCACTAGTTTGTTAGTTTGCAAGATCAGTATGAGGAGGAAGATAACGACCAATGAAGAAGTTGTCTTCATTTCTCCACAAAGTTTGTAAGTACACTTGTTTTTATTTGATGTGATGTGATGGCTTCTCCGTTTTGGTCCTCTATATATAGTGCATTTGTTTTTCTTGTCCCCATATATAAACTGAAAATTCTCATTGACAGATAGGTTTGGTCCTTTCCAACCAAAATAAATGTTGCGTGTGGTCCTACCAAGATTTAGACGAGAAGACGATCATAATTATGTTTTTTTTTTTCTGTCAACTTATTAGGTATTGTGTCTTTTTGACCTAATTAATTAGCATGGTTTTGTATAACACAGAAGATTTCTTATAATTATAGACGAAATATCTCACATTTCTGATTTATTTAATTTCCCTTCTATTATAAGATTTGGTTGTTGTCATAGGAATAGGTTACTTATTAGTATAGAGTAGTGATAGCACATTTTGGTATCATTGAAACACAGGTTATAGGTATATGGAGCTTTATCTTATTATTTAGTAGTTAAATAATTAATAAGTGAAATACTATAAACTAATTAAGAAAAAAGAAAGAGATCCCTTAGGTAACACTACTGGTGGTCACAAGGCTAGTAGCCACCAATCAACACTTCAAATCTTCTTCTTCAATGAACATCTTTTCTTTCTTTATTTTTTCAAAATTTACATAAGAATACTTACGCAATGATGCCACTAACATATTTTATCCTTTTGACCTGTATATATATAAAAAAAAAAACAACGAATCGAAAGAGTGTAAAACAATTCATTCCATTTACAAATTATTATACCCATTGTGTCTCTCCATTTTTATTTTTAAATTAGTATAAAACTGGAAACAAACTCGCATGCCATATATAAAAACCAAAAAATAAACCTCACATGCCATTGTTTCTAAGATAATTACATTTGCAAGTTGGTATTGTATGGAGTATTTGGTACGGTTGTTTATTTGTTCCTTTTACGTTATCCAATTTCATTTCATCTACTTGTAGATGATGTACAAGACCATCTCATCTTCTCTTCCATCGTGTATTTAATATGATTTTATCTTTCTGGAATTTTGTGTAATTTACAAGTCTTTTAGTTTATTTCGAGATCGGCTCACAGAGTTTTTACTATGAATGGATTGTATTGAAGTAACTTGGAAAGCAAGACAGCGGACCAAGCCCGTGAAGCCCGTAAAGCCGAAGTCAAAGAATATTTTAGATATCCTATTGTGATAAGGATTAAGAGATTTAGAATATTTACTTATTCATGTTTATCTATTTCCTATTCTAATTAGGTTAAACATAAGTTAGTCTCTCTATATATTGTGTATCAATTCTATTGAGATCAATAACACAGAATAAAGAGTTTTCCCCTAAATCCTTCTCTACTTTCTACAGATTGCTTACAAAGGACAATTACTTGCATCCACAATATATCCTCCTTAGACTTAACTAAACCTACATCAAATCTTTAAATTACTCAAGATAGAGAGAAAGCAAAACATTAAATTTGGATTCTATTTTCAATAATATCGAATCCTGAAAACTCAGAACTCTGCATCACACTAATATATTCAATATTTCATACAACACAAGCGATGTAGCAAATTTCCCGAAAAACAAACCAAACTAAAACCAGTCTTGATTCGCTCCAATAAACAAAAGCCATGAGATGAGAAAACAACAATGTAGCACAAATAAAACAAGAGCGCAGAAGCTAAAAGGCTAAAGATGAATGGAACTTCAATTGGTAGATTTTAGAACCAAGAACCTTAGTACCGGCGGAATCCACGGTCAGCGACTCGAGCAGACGGGCACTCGTAAGCCATATGTCCTCGACCACCACAATTGTGACATGTTATTATCGAGCCAACGCCGTCTCTGTCTCTGTCTCTGCCCACTCTGCTCAAACCACCTCTTTGCATACCACCATCTCGAACCCTGCTTCCTCTGTCAGAGTAATTGCTGTCCCCTTTTGGGCAGTGTCTAGAAACATGCCCCGAGATGCTGCAGATGTTACAAATCGGATCATTCCTGCAGTCGCGAGCTATGTGACCTGAAGTCCTGCAGTTCTTGCACGCCTTCTCGTTTGTGCAGTCAGCGGCGAGATGTCCCGGTTTGAAGCAGTTGTTGCAGAGCCTGAAGTCTCCTGAACGAGAATCCGGATTAGGGCAGTCTCTTGCTCGATGTCCAGATTTGCCACACGAGTGACAGATTCCTTCGTTTGAACAGTTTGAGGCTACATGGCCCGGTTCTCTACAGTTCCAACACCGCGATTCCGCCGTGCATTCTGCTGCAATGTGCCTGCAGAGAGAGTTAAAGAAACATCACGAAACGCATATAGACAGAGGTAATTCCGTATTTAATTTAGGGAGGACATATATACCCCGGAAGACCACAGTTGTTACAGACGGAAACATTAGAACAGTCTCTCGCAAAGTGACCAGGTCGCTTGCAGTTGTTGCAGAGATTTCCTTGGCTAAACAAGATCAAAAAGTTGGGACAATCATGTAACCACACCAGATTGAAACAAAGTAGTTACAAGATAACTCGATTCAAAACGTATGTATGCACGCAAACAGTTGAACTTAAACCAACCCAACACTGTCAATTAAATAAAAGAAACAATTGAAGACGAACATTGAAAGAAAAACAGAAATTAAACCTGATCCTCATCATCTAATCACACCATCTTGATAAAGAGTAGAAGAGAGAAAAAGGTTGGAGACAAGAAAAGTTTATTCAGCATATCTGAGTCTTAAGCAGGCATCTATGTTAGCTATAAGCATAGGATTGTGGCTAAATTGCCAGCTCGGCTTAGCTAACCTTTATGTCAACCTCAATGTCAGTTAGTATGAGAAGGTTACATAGAAGGGAAGCATAAGGAGAGATGGAATTCCAGAATGTTGTAACGGTTTTGGGGTCGAGAATGAAACGGTTAATAGTGAAGAAGAAAGGGTCAAGACATAAAAAAGAAAGACCTGAAGGCACGACGTGGCTCCCTTCTAGAAGGAGCATCACGGTAAGAAATTCGTTCAGGTCTCATTCTCCTGTCTCTTGGACTCCGACTACGAATCCGATCTCGACTCCGACTTCTACTTCGACTTCTGCTCATTGAACTCATTCCCCCCCAAACTTCACATCAAACACCTGCCAACATCAACCACAACACCAACATTACCTCCTTCACTGCCATACATCAATTCGTCAACACAACTCTCCAATGCCTTCCCCAAACAATTTATACAAAGATCTGATCTGATTATGGCAAAACTCCGCAACACCAATTTCTTGTGCATCATCGTCCCAAACCACTTTCAGAAATTACCTCAGCCTCACAAACTCAATGGGTTTCACAATAAATCAAAGGCAGTTTTAAATCGCTTTTCGATACAATCAAAGAGATTCAACATATCCGCGCACAATCTAACAGATCTCACAAATCGAGTTTTACCCTAACAACAATTAACACAGATTATGATGAAACTAGCCAAAACTAGAGCAACATGAAATTGAATCTCAACTAAATCTGAGCTAGAGAGAAAGAGAATGGAGACGACGAACCTGAGCTAGAGAGAAACTTGGCCGAGCAAAATCCTCTCCTCTTACGATCCCAGGGAGCAATCGAGATCAACATTATTATTTATCCCCAACTATCTTTGGGCTGGGCTTTTTACGTGGGCCGAACTATATCGTTACGTGGGCTTTTACGTCTGCATATATATCTTTAATTAATAAAAACGAAAACCAAAAAAAAAAAGAAACTCCGTTGCCGGGACTCGAACCCGGGTCTCTCGGGTGAGAGCCGAGTATCCTGACCAGCTAGACTACAACGGATTTGTGATTTTATTCTTATAGATTTGTAATTGTTAGTTGATTCTGGTAGGAAACAAGAAATCTGTGTTCTCGTCGGATAAAGTCCAAAAGATATTCGACATGTCAATATCGTGTGGTTTCCACATACAAATGTAGTTCAAATAGTTTTTTTAAAACTGAATTCATAATGATGTGTGTACCTACTTCTATAATTAAAAAGCATATATTTTGTAGTATAGGGTGGTTGATAATATAGGAGAATCGTTTGGGTTGTGTTTATGTATACGTTAGGCAGAAAATTGTTTATTTAAATTATTTTTAAATCAATTATCTTCATATAAGATAATTTTGTATTTAGTACACTGTACACCATGTTGCATTTTATATAGTTAGAAGAAAACAGCAAAAATAGGACATTAGCTAAAAATGATTAATCGGTAGTTGTGTCTTGTAAATTCGCTTGAAAATAAACATTGATGGTCCTTTATGTAATTCTGTCTATACTACCCACTACTCCACCGTTGAGGGACCCATCGAAATTAGTATAGTTTCTACAAAAACTGGAAGCAAAACAATAAGTTTCAGTTTTCATGTGACAATCTCGTTGATGGAACATGTGAGTTTGGTTTCATTCTAAAGAGGAGGAGATTCGTAGTTCGTTAGGAACCTTATTCCGTCATCTCCCCGTTTCAATGCATTGACAAATGACATGTTAATAAATTACATAAAGTTATCTCAATGTTTTTAAAAATGTCGTATATTAGCTGAACAACATGTCAACATGTAGCATTGTAGACATATACGTGCTTTTTTGGCATGGAAGTTATACGGATATTTTTATGCAAAACAAAAAAAACTTAACAATATTTTTTTTTTGTCATCTACAATTATATTATTTATCTTGAAATGAACCAAAGTGAAATACAAAGTCCAAATAATGGAAACTAAAGCCGGCGGACGATATGAAAGTCCCGGAGACAAAGCCGGCGGAAAACGAGATTTCTCGAGAAGGTAGGCCCTAAAAACGGGAAACTAAACATAGAATTGAACAAAGCAAATGAGTTCAAAACACAAACGCAAGAGGTCAAAACCAAAAACTAAAAAAGAAGCACCAGGCTTAAACCTTAAAAGAACCAAAAAACCCAAGAAAACAAGTAATCCAATTCTTCAGAAGCTCAAGGGATTGAGAAAAAAACTTAACAATATATATATATATATATATATATGCAATCATTTTATTTCAACCGTATAATTGTACCATATAACATTTTAAAAAGAAAAAAAAATAGTGTATGTACGTAAAATCCTATATATTTGTACATATCAAAAACGCAAGAGGTCAAAACCAAAAACTAAAAAAGAAGCATTAGGCTTAAACCTTAAAAGAACCAAAAAAACCCAAGAAAACAAGTAATCCAATTCTTCAGAAGCTCAAGGGATTGAGAAAAAACTTAACAATATATATATATGCAATCATTTTATTTCAACCGTATAATTGTACCATATAACATTTTTAAAAGAAAAAAAATTAGTGTATGTATGTAAAATCCTATATATTTGTACATATCAAATTGTAGATATCACAATACAAATATATATCTTAAAATTTGAAGAAACTATTTACTAAAAAAACTAAGATGATAAACTGGTGAGTTTCTTTTAACCATCGTTTTTTGGATACTGTATACATTTCAAAGAGATAAATTTGTCGTGCTTATAAAAAAACTATAGGCATGCGGTGAAATGGATTTAAAGAATAAGACGAAATACATACATACAAAAAAGCCAAGAAAAATATACGGCCTGCATGTGCATTTGTTTGATTAATTGCAGATATTAAATTGGAGAAGCCGTAACCGGTTCGAGTACTGTCATTGTACGAACGAGACACCTTTAAGTCCTTATCTCCCAATTTATATAAGGGAAATGTCCTTGTTTAAGCCTCATCCACACGATTCCGATTTTGTTACTATTCATCAATCAGGCTCGTTGTTATTGTACAAACAACAAACCCGTCACAGCTTCCACTGTTTTGTCTACATTGTTTTGTAATAAATGACTTTATATGCATGCGAATTTATCATCTTTTTAAGAAAATTGTATGTAGCAACAATTTTTTGTTGCATGGTTTTCCAATTAATCTTGACGGATTCCTTCGGGGTGCTATTATGGATGCAGAGCATAAAAGAAAACCATGTGAGCGAATATAATAGCCTCTTTGGGATAGTTGAACGCAGGAAGTTAATTTGGCAATTTAATTTTGGTAGGCTACTCATACAACTTGGAGCTATTTAATTATATCAAAAGGTTTACAATTTATTTTGTTATATAATTTATTTAACTTTCTGTTACACATATTGCTGATTTAAATGTTATAGTAACTTTTAACTTTAAAACCAAAAAATTGACCAATTTTTTAAAGAAATGGACCACGTAGGATACCAACTCACAAAGATGGTAAGACCATGCATCTTTATTGATGGTCTCTTAAAAAAATTATTATGTTAAGAGACATGTCTTATAACTAATAAAAATGTCTTAAAGTCTTTTATTTAAGAGACTTTTGTTAATTATAAGACATGTCTCATAATATAAGAGTTGTTTTAAGAGACCATCAATAAAGATGGTCTAATATGACTACTTATTGTGTTGGAATATATTAATATTTGATTTTGAAAACATATCAACATTCAGTTTAGCAGTTAAGCTTGACTTTGGATGAGTGGTAAATATATGCATTGGTACAGTAATATACGTATTATATGCAAGTATGCAACCATCTCCAAAAACTAATGGAACATTGTAAAATTGAAACTGATCCTTGAAATCGAAAGACGGTTATATAAATTAAAACATAAATTGTATAGAAAAGTGAATTATAGAAGTTGAGAACGCATGAAGTATTACGAGAGCATGTGAGTCAGTTGATGAGACAGTTGGAGAGTCCCCGCTTGGTTACGACTTGCGACAATTTTCTTGGTTTTGGTTTTGGTTTGTGGTCCGAAACATCGACCCCTTCCCTCTGCTTCTTTGTTTTTTTTTTTTTTTTTGACGCATTTCAGTTATATTATAAAGATTCACTGTATATGATGACTACATGGTTTCCCAAGTGGACAGAAGTTCGGTTATACGTGTTACGTTAACATTTCAGAATTATCATTGTGTTTTTATATAAAAAAAATGTATATTACTCCTTCTGTTCCTAGAAAATTGATGTTTCACATATATTAAAAAGCAATCATTGTTAAATTATTTGTCAATTACTTTTTTATACTAAATATTTTTTAATAACTTTGAACCAATAGTGTTAGAAAACAGTTCATCATTACGTCTTGAAGTTTACGATATATTAATTTTAATCAATAAAAAATAAAACAAAAACTTAAAAAATTAAACTTTGTGGAACAAACTAAAACTCTAGAACATCAAATATTTAGGAACAAAGAGAGTTATCTACATATATAAATATTAGGAAAACTCACTACCGGCTCATTGGGTACAACAACAACGCTCCTTTTATCCTTGTGAAGTTTCAGCTTTGATGTCTTTTATTTGATTCTTCTAGATTCACGGGTTCAATAACCAAGATCGTGGTACTTTTCTGTACTTTACTTTGAAGAAAATTTATAAAAGTTTATATAGAGATTAACATAATGGAAAAAGGGTAGGGAGGGAATTAATTATCTTGCATAACTGTTTCTGTACCAAAAAAATTGTGGAAAAAAAAATCCAACTTTGGTAATAAAACCATCATAAAAATGCTGTAATGCATGATATCTTTGCTATAACGTATTATTCTTTTTTTTTTTAATGTCTGGATTTATTATTTATTGCAAATTATGAGAACTGTTACATAGACGATTCTACAACGGACAATTCCTTCCGACCCTTATTAGATCCACGACAGACGACATATTCTTCACCTTCTTCTTCATACTCACCTCCTTCTTTATGCTCTTGATGGACACTTTCCTCTCTGCGTAGAATCCTGGCGAACGGCTATAATTGTACATCGCTGGAGATCTCCTGCACACTTGCCTCCAATAATCTGCAAATTTATTAATAAATCGCAGTATCTGGGACTCGAACTCCAGACCTCTGGATGTAGAAGCATTAATTAACTCTTGTTCAACCAATGGGCCAAGGGGGCTTCCACTAACGTATTATTCTTTCTGTCCGATTTTATAAGATGTTTGCTGTAAAAATATAAAGATTAAAGAATAATTAATATTTATTTTTTTATAGGTATTCAGCCAATAAAAAAAAACAGATCGCAGAATTTAAATGGTAATAACATGCTAAATAAACATAAATTATGGCATAGAAATTTGAAAAAATCTTAATCAATACAATTTTTTTATTGTTTGCATATAATATGGATGATGAATTTTTTATTTTAACTACTGAATTTTCTATCTTACCGTATGGCAACGTGCATGAAGTAACACGTTGAATGTTTCGTACATGTGAGCTTTGCTTGTTAATAATTCAATAACAACTTGGATATATTTAAGCCCTACGCTCGAAGTTAGAAAATTGGGACAAGTAAATGGGAGAATGTGTCAAGATAACCATTAATTGGAGACAATAATAGATAAATTACCAATTCAAAGAACTATACAACAGATTCGAATAAAACCCTAATCAACCTCGAAAGATGAGATTGTAACCCTAATTAATTAACATATTAGGCGAGCATGCATGAACCAAAAAATTCAGTAGTTAGATAGATATTCAAATATATTCCAACCACAAAAAAAAAAAAAAAAGTGAAAGGAAGATCAATAGTACTATACATCAAACCGTCCGTCTATCAAATTCCTTCCACACATACTCGTCTCAAGTTAGGACCCCACATCTTCACATGCTTTGAAAATACCTTTCACATTTTTGGAACCGGTTAATATTGATATTAAATCCAAAATTACACCTCCATTTTTTTCCGTTTGTATAAGAAAATTTAATTCAACCGATTCTCTCTTGGAGCCAAACCAGATGACCCATATGAGGTCGCTTTCGAGTTTCTACATTCTATCAATTCTGCAACAAATTAAATATTTTTATCATCTAAATACACAACAAATGGCTACCCGTAGCAAACACGCAAATTCATATTCAAGACAACAAATACATCATAATCTCCTCAACGCCTCGATATTACCATCTCTCTCTCTCTCTCTATACACATGTTGTGGTTGTGAATAAATTCGTATATGTACATTTTTCATAATTCCGTATAATCATTAAAAAAAAAAAAGATTTTCCACTCGCTCTAGTCCTTAATAAATACCCCCAACCATAAGTCCATGAACCCTCCCTCACTCTAATTCACGCTCACCTTTCATTGTGAAAAATAACAAAAAACAAAGATCTTGTAAACTCAAACCACACACAACAAAAATCCTTTTGAAGAGAATGGCGATGAAAAAAGCAAACAAGCTAACGCAAACGGCGATGATCAAGCAAATCTTGAAGAGATGCTCGAGCTTGGGAAAGAAACAGAGTAATGTTTACAGTGAAGACGAAAACGGATCTCCTCTTAACGTGCCCAAAGGTCACTTCGTCGTGTACGTCGGAGAGAATCGGGTCAGGTACGTTGTGCCCATTTCGTTTTTGACCCGACCTGAGTTTCAGCTTCTTCTCCAACAAGCTGAGGAAGAGTTTGGCTTTGATCATGACATGGGTCTCACTATCCCTTGTGAAGAAGTCGTTTTCCGATCTCTCACCTCCATGCTCCGATGAACATATCTTCTTAGGGTTTTAAAATATTTTAGTTATATATTTTGGAGACATGAGATGTTTTAGGAGAACAGAGGAAGCTGCTGAGTAAATGCTTCTCTGTTTTAGCAATTTTTTTTTAATGTTTTGCTTAGTATGGGTTTAGTAGTTGTATTAGAGTGAGACTAACCCTTAGAGAAAAACCTAAATGAGAATGATTACTATTTTTGGTTATCTTCTCAGATTTACTCTCATGGTGGTGTGGTAATGTGTACCCTGTGAGAGACTTTTTAATATTTGATGAATGAGACTTTTAATATCATCAAAGCCTTTGATTTTTTTACTTAAATGTGATTTTCGTTTGCATAATTAGTTATTTGTTGGGTGCATGTGATAATTGAATTTTAGTCTCGCGGACCTAGTCAAATTTCTCTGCGTGCAGTCAATATGTGTAAAGTAAACAAATTCCCAAGAAAAGTTATGTTAAATGGTAAGGTTAGTAAAAAGGCTAAAAGCTGCTTTTTTTTAATTATAAAAATTAAAAATTCTCATCGCTGAGATAGTTTGAACTTTAGACACAAAAAAAAACGAAAGGCAAAGTACTATAGTCCTTGAAAAATGAAAACAGGCAATAAGACACGGTCGTGTTTGACAAAAAAAAAAAAAAAAACAATAAGACACGGTCGTTACTTTCTAGAGTTTTGTCTCTCTTTCTCTCTCTCCAAATTTGCTAATAGTATATGTTTCAATATTTTCTCATCTTTTAAATTTGTAAAATCTCCGAGTGTGTCTCTTTATTTTTCTCTCTCTATTTCTAAATCAACGATCGTGTTGGTGTCTCTTTCTAAATCGGCAGTTTTTAGCCGTTAAAACTGTTGAAATGACCCAAAAAATAAAATATGGAAGGAATGTTAGTTGCAGAATCGTTACAGTATATAACTATAGGGTTCTCTGATATGTTGAGATTTGTAAAATCGTTCACTGTTTGTATTAATTACGAGATTAGAAGGTAAGCTAGATATTTTACTATGAAATTAATAAACGAATTTGGAATCATCATTTTGAAAACGCATACATGTTTCTGTATTAAGTTAAACAATTATAGACCCTACGTTAGCTTGAAAAAAAAGTCGTAACTGCTACAATACTTTTCTGATAAATAGTATACAATTCAGGGTTTATTAATTTTCATTACACCTACATTTATAGACAAAAGCAAAATTAAAAGCTATAACCCATAACTCCTAATGAGCTAACCCTAGATGTTGATGTTCAACCGCTTAATTAATATAGCATTTAGTTTGGCTATATAAAACCATACACACCTTTTTACAAATGTCTAACAAATCGTGAGAAAGTATATACTTAAGGCATAGAATGTGTAAAGTTTATATATGTTTTGCTTTGATAATTCGTCCCACTCTGCAGCAACTCAAAATAAATTGATATGGAAAATAGAAAAAGAACATTTGGAGATGTCAAAATCAACGTCAGAGAAAGATAAGCACATGCGAATGTGACCCACACAAGCTTAAGAAATCTCGTATAGTTGAGAAGTTACAAGATTCTGATGGGTTAATAATCGTCTAGAACACAAGAGTGGTAGGTGATGGAGCCACTTCAATTATTTGGACGGCTTAGATATAATTCCATTAAAACTTGACTGTATCATGGGCTTGAAGATCACGATATGATTCACCAGTATCGTGTAATTTGCACTCCCAAATTTTGATTTGACTAAAATAGCCCTTTACCTTACCGTACGGTACTTAACGGACGGATGGACTTTTATTTTGATTTACGTAATTAATTATTTCTTAAACTCATTGGACCATTGAGATTAAATATAACGCGACATTCAGACTGTTTGATTTGATTTTTTTTTTTGTTCCAACGTCATATTATAGACGGTTTGAATTCATGTACACACCGACAATATTAGCATATAACAAAATACTATACGTCTAATTAGTTTTATGTAGTTAAATTTAAAATTTTGATCTAACGTTCATTCTAAAGAAACTAATTTTTTATTTTTTTTATTTTTATTTTTTTTATTTTAAAGAAACTAATTTGTATTGTATGAAAACGTTATATCTAAATCAGAAGTGGAGAAGTATTTTCACCAACAATTATCAATCATACATATCAGTGATATCACTGTATCGGTTGGGGGGACTTCGATGAGTTCTATAATTTTTTTAGCTCAACTACACATAGAGATGCATCGTGGTTTATGTTTAATTTATGCAATGTTTTCTTTGGGTTATTTCCGTATATTTCTTTTCAGTCAATTAAATGTTATTCCGCAATATAAGCAAAGTGATGGTATGTGATGATACAGTATATCGATTTCTTAGGTCTATTTATTACCGTACGGATTAAGTGTTTTGTTTGGTAAAAGGTTTAGTACGGATTAATTGTTGAAGATGTTTTAAAATTGTCTTTTGAATAATTTGCTATAGTTATTCTCCTTTTTCTTATGGTCACCGACTTTAATAATTAAGAGAAAGATATGGTAATGCACTAATGCCTAATACTGAATGAGAATGGGTCGGTAAAGAGATCACAATCCCACCATGTCCGAAAGTGCTACATATCCACTAATTAGCATATCATACACAATTTTAACAAGAAAGAAAAAGAACGTACATCATTGCGACTACATGAGCGACATAGCGAGTCATATTTTTATTATTCTTTCTAATTAAGTTGCTTTGATGCGATATTAATTACAATTACATCAACTGTAAATTTGACTCTATGCGACGATATAGCTAATTTACCTTTATGGCAAAAATCAGATACAATATTAGGCGATAGTTTCTATTTGGTTGTTATAGGCGAAAGAATTTATACATGCATAAGTATAAACCTTCTTTCCATTATAATTGATTTTTAACCTGGTTTATAGCTCTGCTTCAAATCTAAATGACTCATGACTCTATTTACACGATTAAAGATTTAAAGCATCGGAATGGGCCTCTTTAAGCGCCACCATCATGAATCTCGTTAAAGCGAAAGGAGTTGGGGTCTCGATTGGTTAGGTGGCTCGTAATGATTGGTTAAGGCCGAGTGGCTGTGTCTTTCTTCAATGGACTTGGGCCGTAACATCCCAGTCTACAAAATTTCACCAAAGTCAACAAAAATAGCAGGCAGTGGTATATTGTTTTTTTTTTTTGTTTGGGGTCTCTGTTAAGTGGTTTTGAGGTAAAAATTGAAAGTATTGATTATAAGCTGAGCTATAAAAATGGTTATTCCTTGGATACAAAAAGAAAATATTTTATAATCAACACTCAGCTTGTTATATTTTATTTTTCGTCTCCATTTGATTTCTTTAATTCCAATTTTCTCTGCTTATTTTTCTGTTTGTCTATCATTATGTCTCGTGCATATCATGAATTATTGGAAGTTACTATTGGATTGATGATTAGCCATGCACGAAGGGGTGTGAAGGTAGCAGAGCGTAAAATGACCAAAAGGACAAGGGTACAAATGTAAGTCAAACAATGTTTCTCATTGGGCCTCTTTTCGCTGTCTTTTCGAAAGATTCTCATCTCCTTATTCCGTTCAAGACTCTCATCATTTTAATGCTAAATAATTGTTGTACCAAAATGACATGTTTATATCTTCTTCGTTAATGATCTCCTTCCTGGCTACAATTATCTTTACCCGACATTGTTCTTTTAACCATTTAGGCCATCTCCAATGGGGAGAAAATTGAGCTCTCATGAGAGGCTCTCTCATCAATTGTGAAAAAAAATAAATCAGAAAGGATTTATTTTGAGAGAAACAGCTCTCATGAGAGAAATCTTGAGTGGTAAGAGAAACGATGACGTGGCTTATTCTGAACCGTCGATTGTTTTGATCAAAAAAAAAAAAGGGGTAAAAAAAAAGCAAAGTATCGAAACTCGATTTCATTTCCGACTCTTGTCTCTTTTTCTTTGCGAGACGCCACCATCGCCTATCTCCGCCAAGGGGAAGTCAGCGAAGTCTTTCGAGCAAGATCTGATGGAGATGCAGACTATGTTGGAGAAGATGAAGATCGAGAAGGAGAAGACGGAGGAGTTGCTTAAGGAGAAAGACGAGATTCTGAGAAAGAAGGAGGAGGAGCTAGAGACGAGAGACGCTGAGCAGGAGAAACTTAAGGTGGAGCTGAAGAAGCTTCAGAAGACGAAGGAATTCAACCCTAACATGGTATAATCTCTAGATCTAGCTTTTGGTTCTCGATTTGGCTGGGTTCTTGTGATTAGATTGGAATTTTGTGATTGATTCATTTGAGATTTTGGCTCCTTAGTTGAAAATTGAAGTTATCAAAGCAGTATATTAAATTCATGGAGGCGTATTGATTTAGTGAATTGTCTGATAATTTCTGCAAATGTGAGTTTTAAATTGATTTTGTTCGTCCACAGAAGCTTCTCTATCTGGCGTTGAGCCTTTTATGCTGAAGATTCATAATGAGATTCGGCGAGTTGATGCTACCATTTTAGCTGTTGTTCGTCAACAGGTTAGCTTTGCTTTTTGAATTTATGGTGAACATTTCTCTGAGCTATGATTTAGCTTTACAAAAGTTGTTCTATTAATTGTTCTTTGTTCTTGATTTGTTGCTGTTATGTTGAAATATTGATATATGTCTCTGAAACTAATTCTTGGTTTGGTAATGATTTCCCCAGGGTAGCTCGGGAACTAGAGCTAAAGAAAATCTTACTTATGCTACATGTGCTGCTGAGGTTAGTCTCTCATAGGTTGATTTGTATTGTCAAGATGTCATTTTCTTCTTTTGTTTCTTTTATCAGTCTGCCATTTGAACACAGGAACTCTCTCATAAGATACAAGAGATAGAATCCAAAGCTGAGCTGACTGAAGCAATGGTTCAAAATATATGCCGCGATATTAAAAGGTTAGATTTTGCAAAGAAGAACATAACCACGGCGGTCACTGCCCTTAGTCGCCTCACAATGTTAGGTAAGTTATCAATATTTTACTCTGGTCAAGCTATCCTGAAATCAGAATGATAGCCAAGAGTATTGAAATAAAATAGGGGTTCCAAGGTAGGCATTAGGCAACATCAAACCCAAACACGTAACATGATGTTGCTGGTTAGCCTGTTAGTGAATTTATTTTATTCTTTATGTAGTAACCAAATGTATGCCATGAACTTAGTTAAACTTGACTAATAAGTACACCATTCATATGCTCATTAATGACACTCGTTGCAATGTTATGGCAGTCTCTGCGGTTGAACAGCTTCAGGTGATGACATCAAAAAGGCAATACAAGGAGGCAGCTACACAGCTGGAGGTATCTTTTCTTGATTCATTTTTTGGTTCAGTTTAAGTTGGTTGTAGTTCAACTTTATTTAGCTTTTCTTGACTCATTTTTTGGTTCAGTTTAGGTGAGGTTAAATGAAGTGGTTGAGTCTTTTCTCACAAGTGGAGAAGGCATGATTTAACAGCCTCTAAATCAAGGTACAGTTCAAAGTGGTTGTTTCATTTAATTACTGGTTTGTGCAATGTGATTAATGCTTGGTTTGTGTTTGATTAGGACAGTTTTTGCTTTTGTAAATGCTTTCTTTGTTCTTTGAAATAAATGCTTTCTAGTTGGAGTATTGTAGGTTAGTGTCTTTACCTTGGCATTCATTGCTAATACTTCAATAAGTTTCAGTCTTCTTCTTTAAAACATTATAACGCTTGAAAACACAAAACACAATCACTTCCTTTAACACAATCACTTTCACTTCCTTTAACACAATCACTTTCACTTCCTTTAACCTTCAGCCTAACACAAAACACAATCACATTCACTTTCTTATCTAAAAAATGGATGATATGAATCCATTTTATCACTCATCGGGTTTCATGAACCTGTTGCAAAGTCAACAAGAAGACATGTCTCAGTTTGCAAGTGGATCAACTGAAGTCCCAGCATTTAGTAGTCAACTGTCTGAAGAAGGAAGTGAAGAAGAAGGAAATGAAGCATCAGATGTCAAACCAAAGCAAAGTATATCACGAAAGAAATGGACAGCAAAAGAAGATATTGTTCTCGTCAGTGCTTGGCTTAATACAAGCAAGGATCTTGTGATTGGTAATGACCAACAAGGTCAATCCTTTTGGAAGAGGATTGCAGCATATGTTGCTGCTAGTCCTTCCCTCGACGGAATGCCAAAGAGAGAGCATGCTCAATGTAAACAAAGGTGGGCAAAGGTCAATAAAATTGTCACCAAGTTTGTGGGTTGTCATAAGACAGCAACAACTCATAAAACTAGTGGTCAGTCAGAGGATGATGTTATGAAGCTGGCTCACGAGATCTACTACAATGATACCAAGAAGAATTTCACTTTAGATCATGCATGGAGAGAGTTAAAGTTTGATCAGAAATGGTGTGATCAAACTACTCGGGGAGGAAAGGATAATGCTAAAAGAAGGAAGTGTGGGGATGGTAATGCAAGTTCCCAGCCTATCAATGTTGAAGATGATTCAGTCATGACTCGACCTCCTGGTGTGAAGGCAGCCAAAGCGAAAGGAAGGAAGTCAGCCACTGTTAACGAAGGAAAGAAGCCAGCCACGGGTAAAGGAGAAGCAGGCCAGTCTGTGGAACATTTTCAGAATTTGTGGGAACTAAAGGAGAAGGATTGGGATCGCAAAGAGAAGCAAAGCAAGTATCAGATGCTTGAAAGTCTACTTTCAAGAACTGAGCCTCTTTCGGACATTGACTTGTTCCTAAAAAATAATCTAATCACGGAGCTTTGGTCCTAAGTTTTAAAGTTTTAGTTTGGTCCTAAGTTTTAAAGTTTTAGTTTGGTCCTAAGTTTTAAAGTTTTAGTTTGGTCACGGAGCTATGATATTGCTTTGTAAGTTCTAGTATTATGTCTCATGTATGATATTGTTTAAAGTTCTAGTTTAAGTCTATGTACTCTAAAGCTTTGTAACTTGTCTTGTATGATATTGATTTGTAATGTATGATATGTCTTGTTGTGTATCATGTATCATGTTTTAACTTGTCTTGTTTTTTTGCTAGATGCCAAAGAGAGCAATGTGTGCAAGTGGTTCAATGTCTGATGCCAAAGAGATCAATATGTACCACAAATAATTTGTTTGTTTTTTGTGAACCACGAACTTTATTCTAGCAAATTTGTACCACAAACGAGCTTATTCTTTGTGTACCACAAACTTTATTCTTTATGTTTTGCCTTTGCTATAAATAATATCCATCGTCTTTAGATGTCTCACAACTCAAGCTTTTCTAATATTGTTCTTTGCTTCAACTACAAAGCTTTTGCTTCACAAAACAATCAATCACCAAAGCTTTTATATATATCTATATTGTTTAATACTTAAACCTACCAAACAATATGGCCTCTTCATCCCGTACTCCATTCGACGACGCCATGGAAGAAAGCTACTCTCAACCACTTGATCAACAATTCGAGAATATGTTCGTCGAATTGTCTAATGGCGAAGAGGTTGCAAAGAAAAATAGGAAACGAGCTTATTTTGATAGAAAACGCGAAGAAGGGCACGTCCTTTTATGGAACGATTATTTTAGTGATAATGCGATGTTTCCACCTCAAACTTTTCGCCGCCGTTTTCGAATGAACAAGCCGTTGTTCTTGCGTATTGTTGAGCGACTCTCCAGTGAAATCCCGTTCTTTCAACATCGAAGAGATGCCACAGGAAGGTTTGGACACTCTCCAATACAAAAATGTACGGCAGCCATTCGTTTGCTTGCTTATGGTTATGCGTCTGATGCGGTTGACGAATACCTCCGTATGGGTGAAAGCACTGCGATGTCTTGCTTGGAGAATTTTACAGAGGGAATTATTTCTTTCTTCGGAGATGAATATCTAAGAGCACCTACAGCCACAGATCTGAGAAGACTACTCAATATTGGAAAGATACGCGGATTTTCCGGGATGATAGGAAGTCTCGATTGTATGCACTAGGAGTGGAAGAATTGTCCCACCGCTTGGAAAGGCCAGTATACACGTGGCTCTGGAAAACCAACCATCGTTTTAGAGGCGGTCGCATCACAAGATCTCTGGATTTGGCACGCATTTTTTGGACCTCCAGGTACCTTAAACGATATAAATATTCTTGATCGATCACCAATTTTTGATGATATATTACAAGGTCGAGCTCCGAATGTGAATTACAAAGTCAATGGCCGGGAGTATCATTTAGCTTACTATCTCACAGATGGTATTTATCCGAAATGGGCGACTTTTATCCAATCTATTCGACTACCACAAACTCGGAAAGACACTTTATTTGCTACACATCAAGAAGCGGCCCGTAAAGATGTCGAACGTGCATTTGGAGTATTGCAAGCTCGCTTTCACATTATTAAAAACCCAGCTCTTGTTTGGGATAAGGAAAAAATTGGAAATATTATTAAACCATGTATCATACTGCACAATATGATAGTCGAAGACGAACGAGATGGGTACAACACTCAGTTTGATGTTTCAGAATTCCTACAAGTTGAAGGAAACCAAACTTCACAAGTCGATTTATCGTATTCTACAGGTATGCCTCCAAATATCGAGAATATGATGGGCATGCGAAATCAACTTCGTGATCAAAATATGCATCAACAATTGAAAAGTGATTTGGTTGAGCATATATGGAGAAAATTTCGCAACAATCAACAGAATAACTAATCGTTTTTTTTTTTCAAATTTATTTTCAAATGTATGAAATTATTGTATCTTTAATATGTTATGAATTGTAATATTTTTCAGATTTATGAAATAAAATAATTAAAAAAAATAATTTAATTTTTTCCTGAGAACCCCACAAAGAGAACCTACCATTGGACGTTGCAAAATTAACAAAAGCTCTCATCTCATAAATTTGAAAATTTTAATCTTAAAAAAATGGTGAGAGCCCTCCATGGGCTCTCACCATTGGAGATTAGAGACTTCCTTGTCAAATTATATTTATCACATTAGTCCAATTTCGGCCAAAAGTCATTCATTCATCATAGCTAAATCGAGTAGTTTCCGTTTCCCTGATAAAAAAGTTTTTTAAAGCTTTTTCAAACATAATATTATTCATGGTTGATAGTTAATGTGGTAGATCCACATTGGCGTAGTTTATCTTCCCCAACTCGACTTTTAGTTCATACTTACTAAACCTGGATTCAAGCTGCATAATATTCATGGACTTACATACTTAATCGCATATGTTGGTCCTTAATGTATTCTTATTCGTTGGAAGTATTATGTGGGGTTAGTATATGAAGTACATAGCATGTTCAAGATGTCATATGTCTATGGATGCAAGAGAAAAGGGATCATGTCAATGATGTAATATCAACATTGGGTACATCATAGAAATTCACATTGTTTATCGTAATTTGTAAGCTAAAATGAAATAAGATGGTATCCAATTTCTTCTCCTTCCAAGAAATACTTTTCCTTTAAGGCTTTAACTCAATCAATATATTATATACTAGTACATAAGACTTTCATAGGTTCATTGTTTCAACGTTTTCTGATAAATCCACCCAAATTATCTTCCATATAAACTAGTGGGGGCAGAGAATGAATCAGACAATAAATCTAAACTATCTAGTTAGCAAAAAAATCTAGGCTTTCTGAACATTCTAAAACTAAATTACAATAAAATAGATAAAACACTAATATGATGACATAATGTACCGTAAATTGTACTGTTTGAGGAACGTGAAGACAGAAAAGCTTTGTTGAGAATGAAAACAGAGCAAAGTGGCTATTACTGATGATAGTCTTTTCCTTCACATGACCTGGTCGGATTTTTTTCTCCTTTTTCTTTGTTTCCAATCACTACGGTCCAGTTTTAAACAACTTTCGCCGAAGAAGTAAATAATTGAAACAAAAGAAAAGTAAATTTTATAGTTGAGAAAGTTATACTAGTTCTATTCCTAAAAGATTGATTTTTTAGAGATTTCATATTTTTTAAGAAACAATAATTATTTAATTATTTACTTTTATTAAATATTTTTTGATAAACTATGAACCAATAGTAATTCAAAACAGTTAATCATTACGTCTTGAAATCTACGATTTATTAAAATCAATTAGTTAAATATAAAAAAATATAGAAAATCAATATTTGTGGAAGAAACTCAAAACACTAAAACATCAAATTTCAAAGAACAAAAAAAAGTAGAATTTAGATCACATTAATTAATTAGGAAAGTAAATTTAAACTTTTCTACAGTGTATGAGTTATTAAAGCGTTACAGCTATATAACTTAAATTTTTAACATGAGTTAGAATTACACTAACTCTTGGGTAAATTATCAACAAATGATATAAACTCAAAAACTAATAATCATTTTTTATATTTAAATGTAGAAAACAGTATTTTATTACTATTGTAAAGATTCGATTTCCACAATTTTAAGGAGTTTTAAAATACTCTTTAATTAAAATAATTAATCGTACGAACTGATTATAACAATCATAAATATTAACATATTAAAATGAGGTTAAACCCTTAAAAAAAAAACACATATTAAAGTAAGGTTAAAAATTATGATCTCTAATTTTTTTTCCTTTTGCTCCATCTCTTTAAAAAATAAGATTAATGTTCATTACAATGCAATTGAATATACAGGATGATTGTAAGAATATTGAAATTTCTCAAACAATAATGATTTCTACAATTATAAATGGAAATTGCAGAATTTACAACCAATTTAAATCATATTATTTTCCATACTACGTCCTTGAACTTGGATTCGAACCCGGGACGACTCGGTAGAATGACTCACCCACCTTTCACGGCCATCTCCGAGCCACCACCAATAAAACTCGCCGCCTCACCAATAAATAAATAGAGAAAAAAAGAATCCGAGTGCCGCAAAATTGTCTCCAACAACATTTTCGGCTCGTTCCGAGTCAAACTGAGTCAGAATCGGCTCTCTCATTTTATTGTCTATTTACTCTGTACGTACGAACGCCGTCAAGTGACATCACCAGACGGCTTTTTCAGTGACGCCGTGAAGTAACGGTCGAGATTCGATCCATAGATCTATCTTGCTTCTGATTCCCACCACCTGGCGGTTCTTCTGAAAATCATCGGGACAAGTAAACCGTCTTGACCGAGTCGAATCAGACCGGGAGATAAACCGAATCGATTCCTCGAAAACCGATTCTTCACAAGGGATAACCAACGGACCTTGGTTAACGAAACCGAACTCTTCCTCAGCTTGAACCAACAGATTCCGTAGGATTGGATGGTTCAGATACGTCGCGCGCACCACAAATCTCCTGCAACTGCTTCCTACGTAGATCGCCACGTGTCCTGACGGCACATCCGACGGTACACGACGGCTGAAAGAAGAAGACATCCTCGCTTGATCGCGCCACCGTCGAAGCATCTGTCTCAGCCTCACAATGTGACGGATCTTGCTGCATTTTCCGAGACCTCCAGCCATTTTTTCCGGTTTAGTGATTTGATTTGCTTTGTAGTCTTAATTAGTGAGAGAAAGAAAATGTCAAGAGGGATTTTGAGAGTTTGGGAGGGACGAGGTTTATATAGTAAAGGGTATGTGACAATGCCACTGGTTTTCGAGATATTTACGAAATTACCTCCTTAATTTGGCTCTATACTTTTCCTTAATGAAATAAAGATTAGTGTGATTGGTAGATTGTTTCTTATTCAGGGAATTAAATTTAGTCAATTTTGTTCGAAGAGAGATTAGATACCAATCATATGATCATTAAGAGGAGCATCAAAGAATTTAGTATGTTTTTTTCTTCTTCTTATTATCATATACATTGGATGGTGCACAAAGGTTTGATATAAGAGATGACGGATTAGACATGGTGAGTATTAATTAGTGGTTGATTATGATTCATATATATAATGATTATGCTTATGAATCTATCGATTATGGAAACAAAAATAAAAATAGTCATCGGAGATAATATATAAAGGACTGATTACTGTTAATTTGAATAGAGAAGTGTCGCTTTTGAATTTAAAAGAAATGGTAGGGAAATAAGAGCATGTGCTAGTGTTGGATAAGACGACCAGTCATTGGAATTTGATTAGGAACATATTTAGTGGCACTTTCTCTCTTTATATTCATGTTCTTTGTTTCGTTATAGTCAAAGTGTTCATAAGTTAAAACTTAAAAGCAATTAACCTGATGAGATTCTGTGCAATGTACTGGTCTCACATTCACATAGCTAAGTGGTTCATATGTACCACATGTGGACGCATATTATAATTCGACTAATTATTACTTCTTTCGAAATATAAATCAAAAAAAAGTATAATGATTCAAAATGTGATCTCAAAATTAGGATCATAGTGGCTGGTTTCATAAACCTATATATTTTATATACTGACTTTGTTATAGATTAAGTGTTATTTAAGTGAGACGTACTCAATTATCCAAACAAGATGATCAATGATCGTCGATCATATGTACCACATGAAACCACAATAACGTCATTAATGGAGAAAGGAAAATTTGGACAATAAATCAATAGTACATTTTTCTAACTTTAAATCAATAGTACATTTAAGTTAAGTTAACATGGAAAGGTTTTGCTTCACAATAGAAGAGCCTTCTCTCCTTGTAATTCTAAATCAGATGCAGAATTAGAAGTATGGCTTCGGGCCATTGAGAGCATGAGTAGTCTCAAGGTGAGAAGAGTGTGTTTTGTTGTTGAAGCTAAAGATCTCCTCAATGCGGTTTGCAGACTTGCAGCTTGGCACTCTTTCAAATTTCAACCAGAGTTAATTTTTTCTGCTTTTCGTAAGGTAAATAGTTGGAGATTAATCCCGGAAGAAAGATGTGCTAACAAGGGAGCGTTCCTAATTGCTAGTAATATTACTTTCGAGGATCGAAGACAATCATATGTAGCTTCGGGCTACCTTTTTTTGGCTTCATAAAGTTTCCACTGAAGAGATGTGTATAGCTTAAGTATTGTACTTTTTTGTTTTCGATCTCTTAGTAATTGTTTTTGGATCCTTTTTTGAGGTTGTTTATTTCAAACTGTTTCTAATCTAATGAATTAATCAGTCAAAACAAAAAAAGTTGGGAGCAGATCTAAGGTACAATATTATATTCAGATTTATTCGGAATGTTAGGAAATTTAAGTATCTAAAAAATGTTTTTTTTTTGGACAAAAGTATTAAAAAATGTTAACGAGGAAAAATTACTAGTTGAAAAAAGTTATAATAATTAATGCCACATTTCTAAACAAAACAATTTTGTTTAGTTTTTTTTTTTCTTTCAATTTTATACTTTCTAACCATTGTAATTAGATTGTATGGTTGAGTTTTTTTTTGTTTTGTTTTTAAAGTAGATTACAACTAAAATATTAAGAAATTTTTACATATACTAATATGCACGTAAAAGATGGTATGCAGTTCAAATTTTGGTGTAAGCTTAGCTTAGACAGTTCAGCAAGCAGATTTGTTGCTTGTAAGTCTATCCAAAGTTTTCTATTTTGGATCCACCTATGATTGAAAATTAGATCTACAGCATATGAAAGCTATCAAAAATTTCAACAGCAAACATAACTGTTATTTTTTGCCAAAATAAATATATAACTGTTAAAACGACACTTTTCTAAATCAATCATTACACCAACGACGATCTTCTTCGAATAGCTCATATTTAGTAGGTGTTTTTGTAAAATGTATTTATCTGCGACCAGACAATCAATAACAATTACTTGAAAATAACATTACAAAACTATGAATTGAAGGTAGACTAGTTATTAGACCGAAAAGAAAATCATCTACACAATCGTTTTTGTGAGTTAAACCTTAGTAATATATATGAGGTAAAATCTGTTAAATCAAGCTAACAAGGATTTAGGACATGGTGTTTCATCTTAGAAATTAGGGTTAAGGGACAAGGGTATTCGAAATTATGAGTATGGCGTGAGTTTATTACAACTAAAGCATTAACCGAACAAAACCGAACAGGTTGTATTGCTTTTGGATTAAAGAAAAGGATTAAAGTGCTTTTAACAATAAATTATGAAATGCTTCAAGATAGTTCGTGCTCGTACAACCAAGGGCCATTAGCCACAAGCGGCAGCATGAGAGTCAAAACTTTTTAAATGTGTATACTAATAAACATAAAAATACACAGTATTAAACTATTAATACTACTAAACTTTGTCGTTTTCGAATAAATCAATTTCGGCGCACGGAAGTGGGAAAATTTATGTTAAACAACAATAAATTAAACCCACCACATGGGTAGCTGGGAAAAGTTGTAAGAAATTGTAATTTAACAATGCTATTTAAAACTGTATAATTGATTTAATACTATAAAACTATAGACTATAGTACAAAGGTTCTCTCACCAGAACCAGTTCAGATTAACTGAAGATGCTTTTTGTTCACTGCGAAAATTAAAATTAATTTTCTTTAATCAAGTGTTTTTATGCGAAAGAAAAAATATTGTAATACGGCGTACCACACCAAAACACACTTATTTTTGTAGTTTACAAATGTGTCCATGCCTCCATGTGCGCGAATGTCCCCATCTCCAGTTATTTTATCAAAAATTTCTTAGCAACAAGGCAGCCAGCCAACAGATTTTCCATTTTCTAATGCCAAAAATATGTAAATCTAATGATAAATGTGTACATTTATCTATGTATCGTACATTTTCATGTGATAAAATGCATGATTAATCACTATCAGCATTGTTACTGTCGGTCTAATCTGATGTACTCATTACTCTTATCCTTAGAATTTTCAGATTATGTCTACTAAAAAAGACTGCCGGCAAAATCTTCCTAGAAACTATGTTTTTTATTACACAGCATATTTTGTAATTGTAAGTATACTATAAGTCTATAACCCTTATTGCATTATGGTACCAAAAAAAAAAAACCCTTATTGCATTGCAATTAGATTATTTGACTAATGTAAGAAATTTCTTTTTTTTTTTTGTTAAAGAATGTAAGAAATTTCTTTCATCACCTAAAATTGTTGAACTACAAAAGACATATAAAATCGTTGATCAATGATCCACTGTCCACACCGCGAGTTCCTATCACTCCTGCATATCACATTTTCCTACATATCACATTTTCTGCATGTGGCATGATGATAACTTTATGATATATTTAGTGCCGTCTCGATTTATGGGAGGACCCTTGGCAAAACTAAAAAAAAAAAAATTCTTACTAAAAAAAATATTCTAAAAAATTGGGACCTTTTTTCAATAATTTTTTAAAAAATAGTTTTGGACTCATGACAAATGCCTATGTTGCTATGGAGACCATAGATATATTCACTTATCATATGATTTAACTCGAGTACTCATATACATATATGTTTCATGCTGAAATAATAGTTTGAAAGAGGTGATTGAATCGCCCTTTTTTAAATCTAAATATTGAATTCAAAAAATTGAAATAAACAAAGGTGGGTCCAAATGCATGTTATGGATGCATCCCCCCCCCCCCATGCGACGTTACGTTCTCACCCCACTTGTTGCGTTTTAAGGATCTTCTCATTTAATTTTATCTTCCTAAGCAAATCTTCATTAATGCTTCTGCAGAATTTTAGTTTTATTATTGGTTATAATGAATCCAACTCAATTATTAATTTTTTCTCCATAAATATATAATTACAAGAGTTGATCGTATGCTAAGAATCGGCAATGGATTGTCTCTTTCTGCCTCCATGCACCAAATTGCATTAACATGCACGAACAATTTGAGGAAATAAGTATATTATATAGGATCAAACAATAAGCTAAACGCTTAATTTGTATTCACTAGGACACAAATCACATCAAATAAAAATCTTTGTATAATGTCATTTGTTGAAGCAACAATATCCATATAGATCTCTGATCATTTACTAAGAAAAAAATCGATTCATTATATGTTTTTTTGGTTGGATTTTAAGTATGTTTCATTTATAAATTATTCAATATTTGTTAATTACAAATAAATAAATGATGTAAATAATAAATTGATAACTTAAGTGGAAAACGTCTACTAGGCGCTAAATATGTCGATGTGGACCCTCAAAGTGTGTTTAACGATGACATGTCAACGTCAGAAGATGACGTGGCGCGCCAGCTAAGTCAGTAAGAGTGGTCAAACAATTTATAAATCCCGTTGACCGACTTGTGACCCTCTTTCTCAGTCCAAAGGTTCAAGTGTTACCAGAAAAAAATGTGACGACGCTCCGTTGTACACAGTGAACGTTACGGACCCACGGAACATTCCGTCATATTTGTATTCTCTATTTTCCTTTAAATACGTTTTACTAGTTTAGTTTATTTTACGAATTAGGCAGTCATTAGCCACAATCAGAAGGGATGAACCTGATTAAAGTTTGGTTTGCTCAATGTTTCTTAAAATTAAGTAAATCTAGCTTTTTTCGGAGTGAAATTTGTCATTCTCCACTCACATTTCTTTTAAAAGAAACTGTTTATAAACAGAAAAACTATGGTATCAAGACGCGTTAAACACAAAAACATAAGTTCGGTTAGAGATTCTTTTTCTATGAAACGTATGCATTAAGTTGTAAAACAAGTTTTTTTCTTCTCTTTTTTGAATATAATTTAACATCTATTCAAAAAAAAAAAAAAAAAAACATAAGTTCGGTTAATAGTTTGCTATTGTACTTTATAAAAGCCTATCTGGAATCTTAAGTTTTTATTTATTTTCATCATAGATGGTACTTTAGTTAATCTTTATGTCGAATTAATTAAATCTAAGTTTTAATCAGTGCTTTCTTATAAGTCTGAAGAAGAGTGAAGACATAAAAGTGCACATGCATTGTTTAGGTTAATAAAAGCATTAATATATGCTAATCAGGATTATGCTTTGATTTTATTTAGGCAAACGTCTTTCGGCATCTCTAACACCTTATCAAATTTCGCCACGTCTCTGTCTCCCTTTCTATTTTGTTTATTAATAATTACAAATCATAGATATTTATAATTCAAATTCAGATTAGTGTTTTGTTTCTGTTCATGGCTCCAACAAAACAAATTTGTACAATTAGTGAAAACTCTATTTAAAAATACAAACTCACTAATCGATTGATTAGTCTAGATATAAAACTTTTTAGATCTACATAACTAATTTCATAATATGTATATGTTTACTACTATATACAGTGTATATAAATTAACTAAATCAAAAGTTTTCATTTTTTTGGTATTGTAAATCCAGGATCATCTATTGCTAACAGAAGTGAAGGCACCAAATTTTTAAAATCTATACTCAAATCCCTTCGGTGAAACTTTAAAATCTCATTCTAGTTCGTAATTAAAACTAACCATGGTCAGACAAATATATTTATCTTCTAATTATGTGATCTTTATATTTATTATGCCAATACTGGAAACGGTAGTCCAACTTTTATAGATAATCAAGAAGGTTTTGGCAAAAGATATCATAATCATAATTAGTTATATAACTCTTTATGATTCTATAAAAAATTGTATAACACTAGATTTGGTTACCTCATGGGTTGTGTAGAATGAAAACAAAAGAGGCAAAAAAGATATAAGATAATTTAAATTAAGTTAAAAGAGAAAAGCAAAGGACACAGCCTTGCATTGCAATTATACGATGAGACTTAATCATATAAAACTGGTTTTGGGAGAATTGATATATGTTATGGAGCGAAGGAATAAGTAGTTAAGTACGCAGTGACGTATGAGGGCGAATAACTTTAGTCCTAATTTCGGACTTCAAGCATTAAGAGTTTTATACTACGTGTAACATCATTTTTTCAGTTTGTTTTTAATAACGAAAATGGACCTTGATTAATTAACGACACTAAAGTAAATGTATAATAATTAGCATCAATTTATTGTATATTGGGAAATGATTAGTCCTTACATTGAGTATACTAGTACGTCAATGTTAAGCCAGTCCATAGACCAGCTCATTAAATTGTTTGTCTAAAAATAATTTTGACGCTTTATTTGAAACAGTATCTTTCATTATACACTAATAATTAGGTCTCTCATTATCCTTTAATTAACTTAATATCCTCCTTTTTTCGTTAGTAGTATATATCATTGTGTAACATGTAAGTGTCAAAACACTCGCAACTTTTATTTAAAACTTTAAAGTATAGGTAAAATTGAAAGCTATTATCAAGAAGGGAAAAGATAGTGAAGAGTTCCGAGAAATCCGTACAGTAAGAGAGTGCCCATAAAAGCCATGCATTTAGTCATCTTTTCAGCTTCATATCATCAACTGCAAAATTGCTCGAATTAACTAGACGTGAACTAATATTTCTTTATTCTTATTGTTATATGATTGGGTCAGAAAGTTATCGAATCGTTGTTGGACGAAATTTGTATGAATGTATCTCATATGATTGGGACTGTGGAATTCAATGACAGCGCCAATATAACACATGAATCACACAAGTAGTCGTTGAACCTTATTCAATATTCACAATAACCTTCATTGTCAAAGCATTTATAATAACATTAAAAATTGTAAACAAAAAATATTAATAGTTATGGGCGTATATGCTGTGAGTTTTTTGAACCACTTGATATAAACAGCAGAAACTAATCATTGGATTGAGACTTGAGAGCATCTGCATTCGCAGAGACTATATGATCATTCAATATTATTGAGAAATATATGACTCCTCTGAACCAGTGGACCAGGAAAAAAGAAGAACGAAACATCTTCTATCATTTTTCTCCCATTTAAGTTAGAGAAGTTCTAACAATTTCAAAGAGAGGAGATTCATTAAGTCAAAGTCATAGTTATAGAGATCTGATTGCATGGTACACGATGGTTTGGAGTCGTAACGCAATAATTGTTTTTAAATCATACCAAGAGATTGGTAATGATTATACATTAATTCTTAGCTTTTGGGCAGTTAGGCACATGACATGACTGCAAGTAGAAACACTACGGGTCAGGCCTGCGAGTTCGGGTATTCGGATCGGGTCGGTTTTTTTGGGTTTCGGTTTTTTGGGTTATTAAAAATCCATCCGAAGTAAATCGAAAAATATTCGGGTAGGGTCGGGTTCAGTTTATTTCGGTTATTTGAATATCTATCGAATTAAATAAATTTTTGGGTTTCCCGGGTTAAAACCGGTTTAATCGGTTAAATTCAATTTAATTTTGGTATATTTTGGTTAACTATGGTATCATTTAAAAATATATATATATCGGATATCCGATCGGTAATCGGGTCAGGTTTCCGAACTTAGATTTCAATCCCTCCGAATTGAACCGAAACCCAAATCGATTTGTACCGAAAACCGAAAAAATCGGTTCAGTTTGGGTTGGCACAATCGGGTCGGGTCAAAGTCGCAGGCCTACTAGGGGTAGTTGTGGAATATAATGGTTGAATACTTATAAAATATCATTTGGAATCAAACGTAAAAGTCAAGAAATTGTAGAATACCTTTTATTTCAGTCATTCGCAGAATCGCTAAACATAAAAATATATGCATAGGTAAAGAATTGCATGCAGAATGAATTAGCATCGGTCATAATCTATCCAATGTCTACGGTCTATTCGATCTTCTTATGTTTACAAGAACAAAAGTTTGGAGATTTTTCTACTTTGCAGCAAACGCTAATCATTCGTCATACATGTCAATGTTTAGATGAACAATTGAACCAAAACTTACCAAAGTGAAACAATAGATATGTCAATGATTGGGTTGTCACTATCAAGAATCGTTCTTGTGAAGTAGGAGTTATAGTTACATCAAATATCAAAAACAAAATCATATTTTCTTTAAAAATATAGCAACTCTAACCAATAATCAATCTCATGAGAGGATCTTGAGTGTCCTTAATGTGTTTTATATAATATCATATCAAATATGTCTGCGTCACGATATATATGTTTGTTTCTCTACGTTTCTACGATTTATGTTTCTTAAATTCTTGGGAAGAACTTGGGGAAGTGTTTTTATGTTGTGGCTTGGCTGCTTTAATGGGCTTATGGCCTATTTTAAGTGGACTGTAGAGTCCAACCATAATCAATGTAGGCCCAAATAGATATAAGCCTACTCATTTAAAAAACTTTACTTAGACTAAAAGAAAGATTTAATCTTAAACTAAACCAAAAGCGACCAATAAGAATTGAAGGCAGATCGCCACGTATGCTTAATCTTAGTCAAATCAAATATGGACCAATAAGAACCGAAAGCGCAGATCGCCACGTAAGCATAATCTTATTCAAATCAAATATGGACCGTCGATCGAACATGCCTTCAATCGTACGTCTATCAACTCCTCTCCCGTTAATCTCCCAAAATTAACCGACCGAACAATTCACCTCGTCACTATAAATTCACTTACCTGTTTTACTTTTCTCAATATCAAAACACAAACAACATTCAAAAGCTTTTAGCGATTCTTCTATCTGTTTCAAATCTTCTTCATAGCTTCTAAGCTCTCAGGTTCTTGAAGAAGTCATGGCTCGTACGAAGCAAACCGCGAGAAAATCACACGGAGGAAAAGCTCCGAGGAAGCTGCTCGCTACCAAGGTATGTTCGTTCTTAGTTTTTGAATTTTGTAACGTAAATTGAGAAATCTAGGGTTTCATATTGATTGATTGTGTAATCGTAACATAGGCGGCGAGGAAATCTGCGCCGACTACAGGAGGAGTCAAGAAGCCTCACCGTTACCGTCCCGGAACCGTCGCTCTTCGGTAAGTTTCACGATCTCTCCTCTCTCATATTACAATCTTTGTTTCTGAAATCATTCCGTCTTCGATGTTGATGAAATCGTTTGGTTCTTGTTTGATGAATCAGTGAGATTCGTAAATACCAGAAGAGCACAGAGTTGTTGATCCGTAAACTTCCCTTTCAACGTCTTGTTCGTGAAATCGCCCAAGATTTCAAGGTAAGATTATCGAAAACCTAACTTGATGAAGAAGATTGATCGTGATTATAATTGAGATTGAGATGTTGTTTCATTGTAATGTAGACGGATCTGAGATTCCAAAGCCACGCTGTCTTGGCACTTCAAGAAGCTGCGGAGGCATATTTGGTGGGTTTGTTTGAAGACACAAATCTGTGTGCCATTCATGCAAAGAGGGTTACGATTATGCCTAAAGATGTTCAATTGGCAAGAAGGATTCGTGGAGAGCGTGCTTAGGATTGAATTCAATCATCATGAACTATTATTTCTTCTATTAGGGTTTATTAGTTTTGGATTGTTTTTGCTTTGTCTACTTTTAAGAATATGTCAAACGCTCTTTTGAGAGATGAATTTATCGATGATATTAATCCTTCCTTACTATTGTTCTCTATACTGAATTGTTTAGCCCTGCGATAATATTTCGAACCGAACCAAAATTCTCGGTTTTTGGTTTGGCTTCTTCGGTTAAGAGAGCTGAACAGATTGATAGCTTTGTAAATCGAGTTCGGTTAACCCATGTATTCACCGTCTCAGTCTCAACCACGCTTCTCCGATCTGTCGATTTCCTCTGTTTTGAAAATGCGTGTTTACTAAAGGAGGAGGATGCACGTAAATTGGGTTTTATGTTTGGCCCAGTTTTGTTTTTCTTTTAAAAAAGTGGCCCAGCTTTGTTTTTGATCAAAGAAAAGTGGCTCTTTGAAAAAAAAAAAAGGTGTCCTCGTTTTGTTTTTGGGCTGTATTACAAAGTGGCGGGCCTAGTTATTATTCGTTTTCTTTTCTTTTCTTTTCTATATAACTATTATAATGAAAAGCTGGTCTTGGTTGCAAGAGTTTCCGTTGCTTGCCTTGAGAGATAAGAAATTTAGCAGGGAATGTGTTAATTAAGGATTTAGGTAACGAGAAAGATAGGTTCGTGAAGGTTCATGTGTTGGGTTTTAGAAAGTGGGAAAAATTCGAATCAGGGACTTTCGCAGCGAGAATAGCTGAGAAGAACCATAATCACTAACACGTTGAACAATGGATAATTTTGATTTCTCAAGGAAGAGAAGAGGTGAGTTAGTATTTATAGCGAAAGATTGATACAAGAAAAAAATGAAAACTTCGGTTGTTTCCTCTTTTTGACGAGTTTGATAATTTCCATTTTTTTAATCCTTATAACTATATATATATATTTCGGCTGCAAATAAATGAATATTCATCACAACGATGAAGATGAAGCAAAAAAGGTACTTACTTGATTCTATGTTTCTATCTCGATTATTGTCTTGGAGAATGATTTAGAGGCTTGTTTTACAAGGGAAAGGCTCGTGTCAAGGTGAGTTAAGTATCTCATGTCTCATGTCTCTGTTCTAATGATAGCTATTGAATCAATCAATTAGCTTAAGCATCTCTTTACGAAGATTAAATTATATCATTTGTTATATACTCGTAAGCAAACATCCATTAATTTATTTCTCTGTTTCTCTTGTCATCAAAAGCTTTCACTTGTAATGTGTCCAGTGAGAAAACAAGCCTCTGCTAATGATAACATTACCATATAATATCACTTATTGCAATTGTTCCATACTTCCTTGTTAAAAAGTGCTTCAGGATCAAAAGATATATGGACACAAGGTTGAGGTCAGAAAGATCAAGACTGGGGATCTTCGGTCTCTGGTTCTTCTTGTAATTTCATTGTATATGTATGCAAGAAATGGACCAATAAGAATCAAAAACGCAGATCGCCACGTATGCTTAATCTTATCATCAATCAAATCTGGACCGTCGACCATGCTTTTAATCGGACGTCTATCAACTCCTCTTCCGTTAGTCTCCCAAAATAAACCGACCTAATCCTCACTATAAATTCACTAATCTGTTTTACTTTTCTCATAAGTTAAAACACAACATTCAAAGCTTTCAGCGATTCTTCTCTCTGTTTCAAATATTCTTCATAGTTTCTAAGCTCTCAGATTCTTGAAGAAGCCATGGCTCGTACGAAGCAAACCGCGAGAAAATCACACGGAGGAAAGGCTCCAAGGAAACAGCTCGCTACCAAGGTTTGTTCGTTTTTAGTTTTGTAACGTAAATTGAGAAATCTAGGGTTTCATATTGATTGATTGTGTAATCGTAACATAGGCGGCGAGGAAATCTGCGCCGACTACCGGTGGAGTCAAGAAGCCTCACCGTTACCGTCCCGGAACCGTCGCTCTTCGGTAAGTTTCACGATCTCTCCTCTTTCATATCACAATCTTTGTTTCTGAAATCATTCCGTCTGATGAAATCGGTTGATTCTTGTTTGATGAATCAGTGAGATTCGTAAATACCAGAAGAGCACAGAGTTGTTGATCCGTAAACTTCCCTTTCAACGTCTTGTTCGTGAAATCGCCCAAGATTTCAAGGTAAGATTATCGAAAACCTAACTTGATGAAGAAGATTGATCGTGATTATAATTGAGATTGAGATGTTGTTTCATTGTAATGTAGACGGATCTGAGATTCCAAAGCCACGCTGTGTTGGCACTTCAAGAAGCTGCGGAGGCATATTTGGTGGGTTTGTTTGAAGACACAAATCTGTGTGCCATTCATGCAAAGAGGGTTACGATTATGCCTAAAGATGTTCAATTGGCAAGAAGAATTCGTGGAGAGCGTGCTTAGAAGTTAGAATCGAATTCAATCTTGAACTATTATTATTCTATTAGGGTTTTGGTGTTATTGTTTTGGATTGTTTTTGCTGCTTTTAACAAAAATACATTTATGTTCTTAAATTTTCTTTGAAAGATTAATTGGTTATTAATGATATTAAACCTTCATTACTCTCTTGTTATGTGTATCGAATTGATAAGCCCTGCGATAATATTCCGAGCCGATAATATTACCATGCGCCGCCGTCGTCATTGTCTCAAACGCGCTTCTCTGTTCTGTTCAATTTCCTCTGTTTTGAAACAAGGAGATACGTACAAGTAGATGTCTATGTATAGGTCTGAAATGGATTTAAGTTTGGCCCAGTTTTTTTTTTTTACAAAAAACTGTGGCCCAGTTTCGTTTTCTTTAAATTTTAAACAATTAGATAGCCCAGTTTTGTGTTTGGGCTGTATAAAAAAGTGTCTGGCCCAATATCTTTTTTTTTTCATTCATATCCAGAATATAAAATCGATTTAACCAAACCAACCGAACGTTAGCTAAAAACCTCCCACAATTTTTCATACCAAAAAAAAACCTCCCACAATTTCGGTAAAAATATCAATAACCAAATTAACTGATTTCCAAACCAAATCGATTAAACCGAACCGAATAACCGCACTTGCAGGGCTAGAATTGATGGTGGCGGTGATCATTGTGTTTTGAATCCACATTTTGTTAACTCACTGTTTCAACAACGATTTTCTTACTCTATTGATTTAGGTATTTAAGATTTGATGTCTTTAGAATCACCAATTATGATTTTGTAACTCGTAACAGAGGATTAATCTTGTGATTGATTGTCTAGTGTTATTGTTTTTTTCTTTTATTATTGACTTAACTAGACATTTCGAAACTGAATTCAAGACCAATTCTCAAAACCGGGAATTCATGTCATTTAAAGTTTCTACAATAACTAACTATGATTAAAATCACAAGGTTTCGAACTTGACATTTGTAAATTTGTTCTCTTACTTTACATTTTTTTTTTCTCTTACTTTACATTTATTTTCAACATACTACTAATAAGAAAGTAACCAAATCTCTTTGAATCTTTGGTCCATTACTTCTTCTTTGTCTCTATTTGGACTGTTGTTTTCCCTCCCATAAACAACAATGACAATTGGTGTAAGAAACTTAGAGCATCTCTAACAGTAATGTCTGGAGGAATGTCTCAAGATTAAAAAATAGAAAATAATATAAAAGTAGGAGAGAGTGTAGACACAGTTTCTGGTTTGAGAAACTTTGAAAAACTATGTCTCCACTTGTCCTTTTATTATTGGCCAAATTCTTTTTTTATAATTTATAATTTAAATAAATAACTTATTTATTACTCCCTCCGTTCCTAAAAGTTTGATGTTCTAGTGTTTTAGGTTTGTTCCACAAAGATTGATTTTCTATATTTTTTCTTTATTTTTAATTAATTGATATTAATAAATCGTAGATTTCAAGACGTAATGATTAACTGTTTTAGATTACTATTGGTTCATAGTTTATTAAAAAATGTTTAATAAAAATAAATAATTAATCAATGATTGTTTATTAAAATATGTGAAATCTCTAGAAAATCAATCTTTTAGGAACAGAGGGAGTATAAATTGGTTAAAATAGTATTTTTGAGATACCCACACAGTGTCTGATGGATGGAGATGCTCTTAGTTGGATCCGATATGAATTTTACTATAAACTTAAGTGTTTGAATGTTTTGTGATTGGGTGTAAATGGCGTAGAAATAGTTGCGCAAGAGAGTGACATACGTGGTGGTGAGACGTGCAAGACAGTAAGAATCTTAGTTGGATCATATGACGCAACTCACTACGTAGTATGTCTTTTAGAATCTGTCGTCTGTCTTATTCTGGTCTCTCGCAAATCTTTCGACACACGACGTTCCTTTTTTGGATTTTCCAACTTAAAAATTCTCATTTTTTTTCTTCTTTATTTGATATTCCCACAAAAATCCGCAAGGAATAAATAAGTTTACAATCATTCTCTTGCCCACGTCCTCGCGTAATAAACAAATTCGAGATTTCGTATTTCTATAAAGTATCTAATAATATGAATTTCACCGACTCAGAGAAATACCAAAGTATCTGATTCCTTTAATATTTGAATAATAACATAAAATATTACGAAATCAATATATAAAAAAGTCCTCAACAATATTTTAATTAAAAATCACCCAATTAGCACATATAGTAAGTGAATGATCAATGTCGATGACCACGTTCACTGTAAACGTACCCAAAGACCTTCACTAGGTATATCTTGGTTTACAACGAAAACCATGTAATAACCGGGCGGTGCAAGAATCGGGGAGCTTGGAGTCCTAACTCTAACTTCATAAATCCTGCTAATCCCGAGTCTAAAAGAAATGACATGATCAAGAACCAAAAGCCTTTGATGCATCGAGAAAGAATGTGTAGTAAACGAAGGAAACAACATCGTCACTTTAACCGGACTTTTCACTCTTCCGGTTACAGTATACCTCAGCCTCAAGATTCTACCGTAGTTGATCGTTGACTGTGACCTAGGATCCACAATACTCGGACGAATACTCGAGTACTTAGGATCCAAATACGACGGCGAAAAAGCCTCTAACCTCAGCTCCGTCGGGAAAAGAACGCCGGTGAAATTGTAAAACGCGTGAGGGTTGCTTCCTCCAACAAGAACTCTCCCGTCACGAAGCAAAGTCGCGGTAGAATGGTACATTCGAGGGATCTTGCTTGGGTTTTGAGCTTCGAATCTTAAACCGACCGGTTTATCGGGATGGTAAATATCAGGATTAAAAACCGGTTCACGACCAAGCTCCCAAGCAGCTGTCCCTGAACCACCACCGTTAATTAACAGAACATTTCCGTCAGGTAGAAGCATCATGTCTCCCATAACTCTCGCTCTCGGCATCTTCTCAACGATCCATTGAGGATTCACGTCGTTGATATTGATTCTTGCACATGTGTCAAGAGCTTTCACAAAAGTATTTCTCCTTTGAGAGAGGTCGTACGATCCTTTTGGTGCACCTCCACACACTAGAACCTCTAACACAAGGTTCTTTATCGGCAAAAGAACGGCGGAGCCAGTGCTCGGATAACTTCTTGGATCACCTCCAGGGATCTCGGGATACGTTTTGACGACAGTGTTTCTGGAATAATCTAGCAATATCGCTCTGTTGTTAGCGAATATGAACAAGTTTCCATCGGTGTTTAGGAAAACGTAAGGGTAAAGATTGTTTTCGTCAGGATCGTTGGTTTCGGACAAAAACGGTAAAGAGTAGAGATTTGGAGCGTTTGTTTTGGGGAAAAACTCGAAGTTGAATTGACCTCGACCTCCGATTATGATCTGCCGACCGTCGGGGAGGACATGGTTTGTAGCGTACCATCTTCTTGCAGCGAGTCCGTTATCGACTTCTGTCCAGTCACAAATATTGTCGTCGCAAGGAGCGAAAAGTCTAACTTTACGTTCTCCGTCTTTATCACCTCCCGTTTGTTGAAGAGTTCCGTCGGGAGTGACTCCGCCTGAGGAGCACCAAGTGTTGGATTGGACTGTTAAGGGACGGATACGGTTCAAAGCGACGTCGTATTCGACCGAGTGAGCGGTGCAGTCGATATTCGAGACTGCGTCACCCGGGCTGCTGCGGCAGGCTCCGTTGGGGAGAGAGATGTTGGAAGGACCGAAGTTGGTTCGATCGTACATTATGACACGGTCGTTGTGAAGGAGCTGAGAGTGCATTGCTGAGATCCCGACGTTTGGTAAAAGAAGTTCCCATGTTCCTTCGTCGCCGGATGCCACGTGGCACGATAGGAGAAAGAAGAGAGCGAAGTATCGGAGATGATTGACGTCGGAGAAGATTTGGATTGTGGCTTTAGCAGCCATTTTTTTTTTTTTGTCTTCGTTGGAATATTGAGTTATGTCACGGGTTGTTTTTTTTATTTATAGATATATACTAATTTTTTTTTCTTGTTTGTGTGGTCTATTAGCTCTACTTTATACAAGGTTGGAAAAAAATCAATTAAATGTAAAGACGTGCTAATAATTAAAACCTCTAGATATTATTCCTAAAGATCATGCTAAATTTCCAGTTTTTTTACTTATAGTCTTAGTCTATAATGGAGTTTTTATTGAGTTTACTTAAATAAAATTACCTAATATGAACAACACCAAAAACAATGGTTTTTTTTTTTGTGTTTGTAACAAGCACGCGTATTTCCTTTAATTCTGTGTCAAAAAGTGAAATTATGCCATGTTTCATTACTCTGTATTTTTTACTAATTTCCAATAGTTCAAAACTGGAAAGTTATTTAATTCAAGTTGACTAACTTTAAAAATTTGGGTAAAATTTCCACCTTTCAAACTTCCTAGGTCAAATCTTCCATTTGTAATTAATACTATAAAACGCGTAAGAAGAAATGAAATTTCAAAATAAAATAAACTTAAATTAAAAGCATTACACTTTATTGTATGTTTTTATAATAAAAAATTATTGTATGTTCTGATATCTTTAAAGCTAAGCCCTTTTATTTTTGCATCGAAAATAATTGTTTCTAGCTGAACCTTTAGTAAATGTAAAATTGGAATAGTTGAGTCGGCACGATTGGGTTATCCCCAACGTTATAAAAAGTTTCTTCTCTCTGATTTAAATTCCATGCAACATTTGTATAACTATGAAGCCATGTAAAGATTCCACACCAAATACAGTATATCAAAGGCGAATATAGTGAAAATTTTATTTAGACATCATTATTGTACACATCAATCTTAATTAGTTTCTCCATCCGATTAATTTAAAATCTAAATATATGAATTGATTATGCAAATAGTTAAGACCTAAGCCTTAGTAAACAGTGATCATCTCAAGTAAAAAAAATTACCGTTTTTTTTTTTTTTTTTTTTTTTTTTTTTTTTTTTACCGTTAGTACTTCTATTTTTTCGGGTTGGTCAATTACTTAAAGACGTGGTACCAACCTGAAATGTACTAATATTAAATGTTAATTGTCGAAGGAACAATTTCTATGATTGAATATTAACATTATACGCGAGGCGGGTTGAGTAATTCTGCTGATTGCTTAGTCATTTGTTTGTGAAATGATGCTATATCAACATCAAACATTGAAATGCGTTGATTATCTCCCAAGTGTTATTTCTTTTGATATTTACGTTTTAACTCCACAACGTCACTTCAAAAATTCAGTGAATCTTATATAAAAAAAAGTCTATACACGAATAACAAATATGACAAACAAATACGTTGGGCGTGTTTAAAAGTGTACTTTTTCAACTATATAAACCGGTGTTTATAAATAAATTTGATGTAGAAAGAAGATTTTTATTGATTTATATTCTGTCTCGTTGGTCCAACTGTCCTTCCAGATAAATATTCAAAGCAGCAAAGAAAAGTTTTATAATGATCAAGATCGCCAAAATGTATCCTAGAATAAATCAATGGTTTCGTCGCGAAAATATATATAATTGTTTTAATACATTTGACCATTTGCGTATATATCTAAAACCCAAAAGCTGGTCTAAGTATATGTTCTTTTTCAAATTACAAACTGTAAAGATATTAAGAATCTCTCCACTGGACAGTTTATGTTTGCATATGCATAGTGCATATACATAATACATAGAAACGTTTTGTTAACGTGACATGTCACAGTTTTTTTGTTTTCCCCCCAAAATTGAATGAATAGTGTAATTTAAAAGAGAAATTCTAGTGAAAGCCAAATGTATATAACATAAAACACAAGAGAGTTCACAGAAATTCACAACAAGAAGCATGAGTATTTTTTTTTTGTCAAACTTATCTAACGCTGCTTTTGCAGATTATATCAACCCATATATATATATATATATATAATAAAAGTAAGAAAAAACAGATTACAAGAGTGATATATAAGCAGAGAGGTGAGGGGAATGCACAAAATGGACGGAACAAAAAGAATAATAAACTAAAGATTTTGCATTTCTGTCTTGAACATAAATAAATAAATGAAAATATTAATAAATCAAAAGCGGCCAAGATTTATGTTCTTTTGTTTATTCTGTAATTCATATGAGCTATATATATACTATTTGGTTTAAGAGCTGTATATATGATGCAGATTTGATTTACTCTATTTTCAATTACGATTTTTTTCTGTTATCGTATAATGTATAATGTATTGATAGTATAGCAATTTGTGTTGTGAATCTGTCCAAATAGTATCTTTTAGGGAATGCATTCGTCGTTTATACATGTGTATATTATATTATATCCACCAAATTCAAGGATTGACCCACTGTTGACAATTACAGTACAGGATATGTTTGAGTCTCAGTTTCTTTGCTACATAATTTTCGTATTATTATTGGTCATACTTCAGTTTTATTTAGATGTAACATGAATATCGATATTATGAAATATAATGATTAACCGTTAAAATTCAATGCATCAACTCTTTGCAAGCTGACACTCTTAATTTGTATTCATTGTTTCTGGTTGTCAACGTGAAATCTTATTTTTGCAGTATTATTTAGAATTAACTTTTGTTTATACACTGAAACCATCGTATTCTTTCTCAACAGGAACATAAACATTCTATTTACGCTGCCTGATAATTCATATATACATCACACCAAAACTAGTGGTTTAGGCGACTAAACCAAGATGATATGTAGAAATCAAATAACCAAAATGAGCCTAAGCTAGAAAACCAGATAATCAAATTGAATTTATAACTAAAGAAGCACAATCTTCATCTAGTGATTTTTGGGCCTTTCCTCTAAGCCCAATAAAGTAATCTAGCATCACCAAAACTGAGAGAACCCACGTTCACCAAAATACTCTTTTTAACAGCAGTTATTATAAAGTTTTACTCCCGTAAAAAAATTTAATCTATCTTTCCTCTCAAAACCTCCTAACAATAATAATTTGGTAACAGATCTCATCGGAGCAACAATCATCATCAAAGAGCCACAATGGCTTCTGGTTTCAGCGGCGATGAAACTGCTCCTTTCTTCGGATTCCTCGGCGCCGCCGCCGCGCTCGTTTTCTCCTGTAAGATTCAGATCCTCTCTCTTGTCAATTTCCCCGACTTGAATCACTCATGGTTTTGATTCGCTTCGAATCCGATCTGATGTTTCAGGTATGGGAGCAGCGTACGGGACGGCGAAGAGTGGCGTCGGAGTTGCGTCAATGGGAGTGATGAGACCTGAACTTGTTATGAAATCGATTGTTCCTGTGGTCATGGCTGGTGTTTTAGGTATTTATGGTCTGATCATCGCTGTCATCATCAGTACTGGGATTAACCCCAAGGCCAAGTCTTATTACCTATTCGATGGCTATGCTCATCTCTCTTCTGGGCTAGCTTGTGGTCTCTCTCTGCTGGTATGGCTATTGGAATCGTCGGTGATGCTGGTGTTAGGTAATTGCTGCTTCTACATGATCTTAATTGTTCGATTGCAGCAATTTTGATCGATTCACTTGTTTAGAAGTTTTTGGTATAGCTTTGGTGTTTGTTGTTTTACATCGTTTGATAGGAAAAATGATTAAGTAGTTTTGAACTTTGATTTTGACCATATGGTTACTTGGTTAGCTATAGCCTATAGGAGAGTTAGGGTATCTCTACAACAAATAGCCAAGATAGTTAGGGTTTCTTGATTGTAATTCTGCTTCAAAGATAACAAATACAGTTTCGTTACTTCATTTGTTGTCAAACTCATCCCAGAGAAAGCTCTTTATTGATTTGCTCTCATAGACGTTGTTTGACATGAGATTCGGTGTTGGTTAAGACCTGCCTGTATTGAATCTTTGAAGCAGAGTAGGAGAAATTCCCAGTAGAATTCAACAGGCTGCTTTGATTTTTGATACATCAACTACGGTACGTATCGTTCAGAACTCTGTATTGTTAATCTCATGCTTCATTTTGCAGAGCGAATGCGCAACAACCGAAGCTGTTTGTGGGAATGATTCTGATTCTCATCTTTGCGGAAGCGCTTGCACTGTATGGTCTCATTGTTGGTATCATCCTCTCATCTCGAGCTGGTCAGTCTAGAGCTGAGTGAAAGAAGTGGTGACTTATTGTTAGTATCAACATGTCTCATATCAGAAGTTTTCATCTAATGCATAAGCTTCTCCTTTCACTTCTTTTTTTGTGAGTTTGAGTTCTGTTATGATTGGACACACTGTAACTTGGTATAAAATGCATTCCTGCATTGCAAATCCCTCAATTATGCAATACAACAGACTATCATTTGCATCTCAAAACTAATCAATATAACGCTAATAACCAGCCTTATTATACAAAATGTTCTTCTCAGTATGGGATTTCAAAAATCTGCTACTTGATATCTTCCCATTAACTAATAATAAAACTCAATTTATTTTCACATAATTCAAACTACCGTTTGCATCCATGAACGAACACTGCGACTCAAGGAACTACCGTTTTCACTGTAAATAATTTTCTTACCATTCACTTTGTAGTAGAAAACATATGATGGTGGGTTCAAGAGAGTAGACCAAAACCAGCACAGTCAAATTGTCGTGACTTGTTATAAAGATGAGAGTGATGACACATGTAATAATGCTATGAGTCGTCCACACCAAACCAAACACCAATTAAACACTCTCACACAAATTTGCATTTCTTTTGCATTTACTCTCCTTCCCTTCTTGATTACACCAATCCCTTCTTCACGACTACCACTCTTGTTTTAATTATCCTCATGAACAACGTCTTTTCCACAATTTCATGGAAAACAAATGGTGCCTTTATGGTTAGGCGTGATTTAATATACATAGAAGTTTATAGTTAAGAAATTTATTCCTTGGGGTTTATAAAAGGAATCCAAAGAATATGGGCGGAGTTCTCCATTAATGTACACCAACCAAACATGAAACATTAAAAGTTAAATAATTGAAAGAGAAGTAATGAATCCAAAAAAACAAAGTACACTGGCTAAACAGTAAAAAATCCAACGTGGATTGGGGTTTCAGACAACAACAGGCTCTGCTTAAAAAACTTTTCGTCCTCTGACGGCTTAACTTCACTTTTCCCCAAACACAAAAATCCAATAAATTATATCAACGGCTACTTTCATATCCCTAGGGTGACAAACACGTGTCGCATAGCCACTTGTCCTAACGTATTTGGCGGGAACTAAAACAGAACTAATACAATGTGGAGAGCCCCCACATCCTACTATTAAACCCACTGACCAAATCACGGAACATTGTCTACTAAAGCTCGGTAGATAGTTTACGCAATGCTTGCCAAAACGGCTCCGTAGGGTCATGTTCAACATCAACACACTATTTTAGTCTACTTGACTAATGTTGGACCCTCTCAGCTGACTAAAACTCCGAATAAAGAAAACAGATCACGAAGAGCGAATCAAACAGAAGAAATGCGGATCATACGAATTTGTTAAAATTAGGGAATATGATTTTTATTGAACGAGAATCCCGGGAAAAAAATTGTTCAATATTAAGTATTAACACAAGATAACAACACATTGAACTGATTGATATCTCTCCTTCCACCATGGAAAATGCAATAAATGTGACAACTTAAAATTTGATTGTCGTACCCGTGACAAGATACAACGCAATGAAAGTCAAAATAAATTATCCAAAAAAAAAAAAAAAAAAATGATTGTGAAAAGATAAAGCTATTTCAAGAAGCGGCGGTGGCGGCTGGGGAAGTAGGTGAAGTAGGATCGGCGGACAAGGAAATCGCCGGACCGACTCTACACCCTTCGAGCATGAAAACAACATCAGCCATAGACGGACGATCAACGACGTCTCCTCCGGTACACAACAACCCAACTTTAATCCCTAACAAGAACTCTTCCCACTCTGAACTTTCCGGGTCAAGCTCCAACAAACCCGGTTCAAGCAACTCAACGATCTGACCTTTTTGTAACTGTCTCTTCACCCATTTCACTATATCTTCATCCTCTGTAAACATCACTGCCTTTTTCCCCGTTAAGATCTCTAACAACACGATCCCGAAGCTGTACACGTCGCTCTCTTTACTTGGTTCACCCGTTAATGCCGCTTCCGGGGCAATGTAGCCTAAAGACCCGACGGGAGTGGATGATGTAGACGGTTCTTCAGCTGGAGTCAACGCCGTCAATCTATCTAACCCGAATTCTGACAAATGCGCTTCAAAGTCAGCGTCAAAGAGAACGTTTTGCGGTTTAAGATCCCCGTGAATGATTGTTAAAGAATGCAAAAAGGAGAGTCCTCTAGCGATTCCGAGGGCGATGAGATGACGCATCGGCCAGTTCAAGACGTGTCCGTCTTGGTGAGATGCTTCTTGCAAAAGAGTTGAGAGGTTTCCGTTGGGCATGTAGTCGTAAACTAGAAGTCTTAGATCAGGCGGTCCGCAGTAATAACCTCTCAAGACAGTGATGTTCTTGTGCTTCACTCTACCTAAAGCCTCGGCTTGGTTACGGAACGTTGCGTCAGTTATCGAAGCGCCGTCCATGAGTCTACGAACCGATAGAACCATCCCGTCTCTAAAAGTTGCCTTGAAAACCAACCCGTACCTTCCTCGACTCAATACGTTTTCTTCGTCGAATTGTCTTGTGGCTTCTAAGGTTTCGGCTAAAGTGATCTTGTTATTGAACATCACAAGTTTAGGCCCACCATTGTTGTCTTCTCCTCTTGTCCCACCCGAACTCGCTCTAGATGTACGTGACGGGGTCCCTTTCTTGTCCCGACTCAAACCCAATCTTAGTTTGTGCCGCCATCTCCATAAACTGAACACATAACCACAACAACAGAGTAACAGCAACAAAGCTCCAGCAACTGCAAGTGTCACTAGTAGAATTAGCTTTCTTCTTCTTCTCCGCCGAACGTTTGGACATTCTATACCAAGCGGTTTACCGCAGAGTCTCGGGTTATTGACAAAGACCGACGGGTTAGTGAAACGCGCAGCTAAAACTTCTGGAATCTGCCCTTCCAAACTGTTTCTTGATAAGTTGAAGTAGTTCAAGGAATGAAGCCGAGAGAGACTTGATGGTATAGTAGAATTCAATCTGTTAGACGAAAGATCCAACGATGTTAGGTTCGTCAATCTTGAAAAAGATTCCGGTATTCGACCTGATAGAGAATTCGAATTCAGCAAGAGAGATTCAAGAGACGAATCCTTAGAAATCTGATCCGGAATACTCCCTGTAAAACTGTTGTGACCCAAATCAAGTTTCCTCAGACGAGACAATTTAGAAACGTAAACCGGAATGTGACCCTTTAACCGGTTTGAACTGAGCTCAAGAACCTCAAGACTGGTACAATTCCCAATCTCCGGCGGGATTGAACCGGAGATCCGATTATGAGACAACGAAAGCACTTGTAATGACTTGAGAAATCCATAGTTCTTTGGGATATGACCGGAGAATAAGTTGGAACTGAGATTTAAGAACCGAAGACTAACCAAGCTGCTGAAACCTTCCGGTACAACGCCGTCAAGTGCATTGTTTCCAAGAGCAACCACTTGAAGATCGGGCAAGCCAAAGAGTTCGACAGGTAATTCACCGGAGATTCTCTGTTTACTTAAATCCAAGACCTGAAGCTTCATTAATCCACCTACGCTTACCGGTATCCGACCCGTTAACCCGCACCCACTTATGTTTAGAACACTCACGCTCTTTAGATCACCCACATTAGACGGAATTTCGCCGGAGAATCTGTTGAAACTGAGATTAAGGATGCTGAGATTAGCTAGCTTCGTTATCTCCGACGGTATAGTTCCGGTGAGATGATTTTCATTGAGATTCAATGTTTCAAGTCCGTGTAAGCTGAGAAGATCCGACGGAATCCGACCCGAGAACCCGTTTCTTCCAAGAGATATCGTTGTCAGGCTCCCTAACTGACTTAGAAAACCCGGAATCTGACCCGAGAACCTGTTTCCTTCGAAATCAACGACTCGTAACGATCTACAATCTCCGATACTCGTCGGAATTTCCCCAACGAGTGAATTGTTTGCCACTCTCAGCTCCTGAAGCGCCGCAAAGTTCCCAACCTTATCCGGAAAACCGCCGGAGAAACCGTTTCCAGATATATCCAAAACCACTAAAGAGGTCAAATCTGTCAACCACGCGGGAAAATCGCCATTAATGCGATTCTCGTGAATGTCGAGAATCTCCAAATTAGGGTTCACGCAAGCTGCGTTTGACGATGGCTTAGCTATTCTCGTGAAGTTATTAACTCCCAATTGAATGATTCGCATGGAGGAATTGTAACCTGAAGAGCCACATACAAGACTCGCCGGAACTGTACCGGTAAGTGAATTTTCCGATAATGAAATCACTTGGAGGCTTCGAATCTTCCCGAAAGTCGCCGGAATTAGACCGGTGAGTGAATTTCCGGTTACGCTGAAGTGTATAAGCGACGAACAGTTGGCTAATGCAGATGGTAGTGTACCTTGTAACTGGTTTGAGTCTAGCCATAGATACTCTAGGTCTTGTAGCTGCCCCAATGTCGCCGGGATCTCACCGGAAAAACGGTTGAACGAGAGGTTGATGAGCTGGAGAGATGAATCCGCCGAGAAATTCGCCGGAATCTCACTGGATAATGCATTGGAAGATAAATCGACGTAACGGAGACTCTTTGAGACTGTAACGTCGGAGATATTCCCGGTGAGTGAGTTATGAGCAACGTTGAGCACTTGGAGATTCCTGAGATTCAGTATCTCCGGTGGAAAATCGCCGGAGAAGGAGTTGTAGTGAAGATAAAGCGCTCTAAGGAAGACACAACGAGAGAGAGAAGAAGGAACGGCGCCGTTTATGTCGTTGGTGTGAAGACTGAGTTTACGGAGCTGAGTCAACTCACCGAGTCGAGGACTGAGGTGACCGGTGAGGCGAAGACGAGGCAGACGAAGCTCACGGACACGGCCGGAGAAGCAAGAAACGCCGTGCCAGTCGCATGGAGCTGATGGAGATGATTGATTCCATGATTCGAGAGCTCCTAAAGGGTCATGGAGTGAGAGTTTGAAAGATGTGAGTGCTAGAATCTCTGATGAGACGGCGGAAGTATGGTGGAATCTGGAGAAGAAGACGGCGGTGAAGTGAAGGAAGAAAATGACCGTTGCGGCCATTAGAGTGGAGAAAGGAAAGATTTTTATTGCAGAGAGGATTTAGTTTTGTTTCGTCTATAATATAAGAGAGAGGAGCGTGAGGAGGGAGAGTGTAACGACATCGTTTTGGATTCCACTATATGGAACTCTTGGGATGGTGTGAATTTTTTGTTGTTCCCCAAAAGCAAATTATATAAAGAAACTAAATGTTGTATGGATTATTCAAAAATTGTTACCTAGTTCTATATCTACTATACTTTAGACCAAGGGCACAGGCTAATCTCTTGGACATGATCTCACCAAGCAACACAAATTTCATTAAAGCTTTGTGAGAATAATATCTTACATGCAATATGGTTCTGTGTACGTTATACATGTGCGTGAATGACAGTATCTGCATTATGTTAGTAGCTACCAATCTTGTGACAAATGTTACGACCAACTCTGCATCTCTCATGGCCTGGTAAATCAGAAACTACCAAATCGTACACATTGCTTACTAAGGATACTTATAGTATTTCATATATGGTTAGATTATGAATGCTTTATTCTGATTTTCAATTTTCAAAGCTTATGCTTTCTAAAAATCTAAATCCATTAATCAAAATATTTTTCATTCCATGTTTATCAGATAGGTCAATTAGTTAAGGTTCCTGGTTCACCCATACTTTCTGCAAACCAAAAGGGGATTTTGTAATTTTATAACACAATTGTTTTATTCTTTCGCTCACACTATTAATCACATTGAGACTATGGGACATATAGATAATGTAGACAAATGTATAAGAAAGACTTATTATACCACTAATCTCACAAAGAAAAATTAAACAAAAGGATTTTTTAATCCAAGAATCATAATTTCTGCCGGAATAGATGGACCACAAGAACTAGACATAAAGCCTAAAGAGACTAGTTTAATCAAGTACGAGTTCTATGTACTCTTGTTGGAGTCAAATATTGTTAATTTTTTTAGTTTGATGATGATCACAATTCCGTTGTAGTCTAGCTGGTCAGGATACTCGGCTCTCACCCGAGAGACCCGGGTTCGAGTCCCGGCAACGGAGTTTTTTTTAGTCATTTTTTGCTAGATGGGCTATTGGGCTTCAGACAAAGCCCAAATTTCCTTTTGTCTTAAGGCCGATTAGTGTCTTGACTAATCCGATTTGCTTTCTTACAAAAAAAAAGGAAAAAAACAATTAATGTGCACTTCGTAACCTTACCCGCCGTCGGCAAACACCGTTGGTTTGATTTATACCTCTCTCTCTCTCTCTCTGCGTAGGTCTTTGTCACCGGAGATTGATATCTTCGAGATCGTTGAAGAATGGGTGTACCGTCGTTTTACCGGTGGTTGGCCGAGAAGTATCCTCTGTTAGTGGCGGATGTTATCGAGGAAGAGCCTGTTGAAATCGAAGGCATCAAGATTCCGGTGGATACTAGTAAACCTAACCCTAACAATCTCGAATACGATAATCTCTATCTCGACATGAACGGGATTATCCATCCTTGTTTCCACCCTGAAGATAGGGTAACGTTTTCTTTCGATTTTTGATTCATTCACTTTGAATGTTTTATTTAAGACATTAGGGTTTTCAAATTTGACCTTTGTGTTAGTAGTTTTTGTTGTCAGCTCTTTGATGGCTATGTTTGTTATTGCAGCCATCTCCAACTACCTTCGAGGAGGTGTTTCAGTGTATGTTTGATTACATTGATAGGCTTTTCGTGATGGTACGGCCACGGAAGTTGCTCTACATGGCTATTGGTAAGTTTTCTTTATCAGCCAACATTAAGTTTTAGAAGTGTTTGCTTAAACCTTAATACTTTTGTATGTTTGGGTCTTAGATGGTGTTGCTCCAAGAGCTAAAATGAATCAACAACGGTCTAGACGGTTTAGATCCGCCAAAGATGCATCGGATGCAGTATGTTCTTTTTTACCCCATACTGGCATGGGGTTTCTACTGTGTAGTTCCTCAGCCAGAAAAACTTTATTTTGCTATTTAAATTCATCTAGACATATGCTTCTAATGATTGTTGTGTTCTTGATTTCGTTTCCTTACGTGTTTCTTTTTTTTTCATTTTGTTAACGAGTCTCCTACCTTTTCAATGGAAATCTGTTGACATTGTTAATCTTACAGGCTGCTGAAGAAGAACGGCTGCGAGAGGAGTTTGAGAGGGAGGGTAGAAGACTCCCCCCTAAAGTGGACTCTCAAGTGTTTGATTCTAATGTTATTACACCTGGAACAGAATTCATGGGTGTTCTGTCTATAGCGCTGCAATATTATGTACACCTTAGACTTAATCATGATGTTGGTTGGAAAAATATCAAGGTATTTGTGATTCTCTATTAGTTCTTACTTCACACAGTTATGCAGATTTACGTATTGGATTGAGTTTGTGACTAATTTTGCACGTAACTGTTGAACTACGAAGGTTATCCTTTCAGACGCAAATGTTCCAGGTGAAGGGGAGCATAAAATCATGTCATACATTCGTCTTCAAAGAAATCTTCCTGGTTTTGACCCAAACACTCGGCATTGCTTGTATGGACTGGTATGTTTCTTCATGATCCTGGGGTCTTAATTACTTATATCTTTTATTCGCCTTCACTTTCCAGTGTGTTATTAAGTTATGAGGCTCATTTTGACCTACTTTCTTTGACAGGACGCTGACCTGATTATGTTGGGCTTGGCCACCCATGAAGTTCATTTTTCAATTCTTCGAGAGGTTTTTTATTTACTTCTCCGCATGTTTTTTGTATTCAATTCTGTGTTTAAGGGCTTTGTTTTTATATATGTATTTCCTTCTGAAATAATAACAAAAGTGAGTAGTAAAAAAGAAGCGGAGGAAATAACTGGAGTAAAATCTTCAATTTCTTTTTTCTTCCTGGATAACTAAGCTGAATTCTAAATTTTCATCCCACGATTTAGGTGGTCTACACTCCTGGACAGCAGGATAGATGCTTCTTGTGTGGTCAAATGGGCCATATGGCTGCAAATTGTGAAGGAAAAGCAAAGAAGAGGGCAGGAGAATTTGATGAGAAAGGCGATGGAAATGATTTTGTCAAAAAGCCATATCAGGTTGAAAATTCATGACCAAGTTTATAACATACGATCAGCAGGTTCTTGAGATACAATCTTTAAGCGTGATATTATTGTCAAGTCTCATATCTATGTTTCTTTTTGTCAGTTTCTCCATATCTGGATTCTTAGAGAATACCTGGAGTTAGAAATGAGGATTCCCAACCCACCATTTGAGATTGATCTAGAGCGCATTGTTGATGATTTTATCTTCATATGTTTCTTTGTGGGCAATGACTTCTTACCACATATGCCGACATTAGAGATTCGAGAGGTTTGTGCTGCCTGGATTTGGATTTCATTATGAATTGTTCGTTTAAAGAACCTTCAAGGGATGCCCTAGTATGATTAGATACGTTAGAATTGGTGGTGTCAGTTTAATGTCTAAATTCCGTTATCTATTCTATGTTAAGAACTTGACATATCTTACAACACATTCTAAATTACTTTTTGATGAAACGTTGCTGTAATTCTTCATTTCTTCAGGGTGCTATCAACTTGCTTATGGCTGTTTACAAGAAGGAATTTCGGTCACTTGACGGCTATTTAACTGATGGGTGCAAGGTACTTGTTCTCTGTTCATATTGGACTAGTTTACTCAAATCTTTCCTTTTCCAATTTACCCTTAGGTGACATGGTTTTGACTTCATCTTTTACTGCTATCCTCTCCAGCCAAATTTAAAGAGGGTGGAACAGTTTATTCAAGCTGTTGGATCGTACGAAGATAAGATATTTCAGAAAAGAGCCAAGCAACATCAGGTACATCGATTTTTTTAGAAAACGACACTTTTTTTTGGCCTTGAAGTGAGGGACATTACCTGAGTAGCTATTTATCTGCTATTAATATATCTGATTATATGTCACTGACACGACATTTCCCTTTTCCCACTTGGTTTGTAACCTATCTTAAGTTTATAAATTTTGAGTAGAGCTTGCAGAGATATTAATACTTCACCATAGTCTTGTAAATTTAATTTAATTGGATTTTAATGGAAACTATATCGGGGTCCATGTGTATCCTCACGTTTGGTAGAGTGTATTTGAATCTTGTTTGCTATGCAAGTATATTTATTGCTGCATTATGGTCATTTGGAAACCCTTGACCTGATAAAACCTGCTGGAATCCTCTGCACATAAGTGGTGACACTGTAACTTGATCCATTTAAATGGTTCCACATTGTGTTAGTATCTTGACAGATATTGTTAGAACTAATATTTCTGTAGTGATGTATTAATGGTCCTTTTTACTCTGGTTTATATCAGAAGCAAGCGGAAAGAGTAAAACGAGATAAAGCAGATAAAGCTCAGTCAAGAAGAATGGATGATGCAGCTCCGACAGTTCAACCAGACTCTCTGGTTGCTGTTGCACGATTTAGTGGTTCTCGACTTGCTTCGGCTCCTACACCTTCACCCTTTCAGTCTAATGATGGAAGGTCTGCTCCGCATCAAAAAGTTCGACGTTTATCTTCAGGATCCAGTGTTGGTGCTGCTATTGTTGACGTCGAGAACAGTCTCGAATCTGATGTATGCATTCCTGTCCTGGAGAGGCATTATGTGATTTTAACTCCTTTTTCACTGTGTAATTGAGAGTGGATGACCTTATATAAGTGAACAATCATTTTAATTTATTTACTTTTTATTTCAGGAACAAGAGAACAAAGAAGAGCTAAAGACAAAGCTCAAGGAGTTAATTCGTGAGAAATCAGATGCGTTCAACTCGGATACTACTGAAGAGGATAAGGTTCTTTCTAGCGGATTATGATTAGATTTACATTATTGGGATTTTCTTTGGTTTTCAGTTACCCTTTGATTGTTAGTCAATCTTGGGATTTCCCTTCATTTCTGAAAGTGGTTTCCATTTGCATAGGTGAAGCTAGGGGAACCTGGATGGAGAGAAAGATATTATGAAGAGAAGTTTTCAGTAGTAACCCCCGAAGAAATGGAAAGAGTGCGGAAGGATGTTGTAAGTTTGAGAATGATATATAATGCAAGTTTTTGTACCACTCTTGGAGATATCCTTCTAATTTGTGAAACATTCTTTTTTACAGGTTTTGAAGTACACAGAAGGCCTTTGTTGGGTCATGCATTACTATATGGAAGGTGTTTGTTCCTGGCAGTGGTGAGTTCCTACACTTTGATATTTCTTTTTTACTGAACAACTTCACCTACTGATCCGTTTGGATTACTTTCTTTAGTGTGCTCTATTTTTATTTATGTTGTAAGCTTTTCATTTGAAGTGCTATAAATTTTTGCTTGTTTGTGTTTTTTTAGAAGAATTTATATATTAATTCTTGGTCTGATAGGGTTTACTATGTTATATCTATATCTTGGTTTTAGACACTATTTGCTTTTTAGATTCGTAGGTCTTCATCTACTGTGAGAGGTTTTAGCTGTCACATCTGATATAATTGTCCTTTGCTGTTACAGGTTTTATCCCTACCATTATGCACCATTTGCTTCTGATCTGAAAGACTTGGGAGGGCTGGATATTAAGTTCGAATTAGGAACTCCTTTTAAGCCTTTCAATCAACTCCTTGGGGTGTTCCCAGCTGCAAGGTAGTTACATTAATGCTTTTTATTTAAAAGGTCTACATTATTGTTCCCTCTCTTTGGGATATCTATTAATCGTTACTTCATTTGGTCAGTGCGCATGCACTTCCAGAGCGGTACAGGACCTTGATGACAGATCCCAACTCTCCTATCATTGATTTTTACCCAACTGGTAGTGCTTCCTTTCCTAGTAAAGATTCCATCTTTTTCTGAGTGGTAATTGTTGTAACGAATTATATCTGCATCGCTTTCTATTGTTATTTTAGATTTTGAAGTCGACATGAATGGAAAGCGTTTTTCATGGCAGGTAGCCTCTCTGTCTTTCTTTATCTTTTCCTTATGTTAAAGAAACACAATCACTATATTAACGGATTTTACTTTTTCATCAAAGGGTATTGCTAAGCTGCCTTTCATTGATGAAAAGCGCCTACTAGAAGCTGTTTCCGAAGTGGAATTTACATTGACGGTACGTCATTCCTGCATCTATTATGATTTCCTTCACATCAAGATGTGTGCTTCCAAAAAGATGGATTTTTAAGTATTCTTTATCCAATCTGCAGGATGAAGAGAAGCGTAGAAACAGCAGAATGTGTGATATGCTTTTCATAGCAACGTCGCATCGCCTGGCTGAACTCATCTTTTCACTTGACAATCACTGTCGGCAATTAAGTGCCAGGGAGAGAGTAGACTTTAAGGTTAAGATCAAACCTGAGCTCAGGTTTGTAAAACGTAACTCTATTTGTTTTGTTTTATGATTTCATGGTGGATGAGTATGAAATAAGCTGGTCAATTGGATATCTCACTGAGGCCAACAAATTTCAAATCTGTTTCCTGATGTTCTTAGAACTACTTGCAGTGATGGTATGAATGGCTACTTGACTCCGTGTTCAGGGGAGACTCACCCGCCTATATTTAGGTCCCCAATGGAGGGTATGGAGGACATCTTGACCAACCAAGTCATGTGAGATAACGGGCCTAGTTTTCAAAAATGTTCGGAGCTTAAATTGATTAAACATACAATACTGATTTAATTTCGTTGCTTTTCAGATGTTGTATTTATAGACTTCCAGATGCACATGAACACATAACCAGGCCTCCTCCTGGTGTTATCTTCCCTAAGAAGGTAAATGATACCACTTTGTCTTGTCTGTGAATGTCATCCCTATGGACTTTTAATGGTTTAGCTAGTCATTGCTCAAGAAGAACTTATTTTGAGTGATCTCTATGGATAAATCGTCTTGGTAGCTTAAGTTGGTTGTTTTCTCTTGTCTGTTCAGATTGTGGACATAGGGGACTTGAAACCCCCACCTGCTCTGTGGCATGAGGAAAACGGAAGGAGACCGATGCATAATAATCACGGGATGCATAATAATCACGGGATGCATAATAATCATGGGATGCATAATAATCAGGGGAGGTAATAAAATCATCAAACATACTATGGTTAGGTTGATTAGGCCACGGTTATGACGTCTTAATTAATTAGTTTTGGTGTTTTACCGTATGAATTTGGTTTTCTTATTTTCGTTTTTCTGTTAAAGTGTTTTCTTTTATGCATTAGGGTTATGATTAAATTGTATGAAGAACTATATAAGGGTCTCTATTTGATTAATAAGAAACCAACCTCCAACAGTTAACCTAATCTTGAATTAAATTGGTAGTGTCTAATATCAAAGTTGCTATTTTCTTTTCTCCTCAATTCTTTAGGCAAAACCCACCTGGAAGTGTATCTGGGAGGCATCTGGGAGACGCAGCACATCGTCTTGTCTCTAACAGCTTACAGATGGGAACAGACCGATATGGATATCAGACACCAACAGATGTGCATGCTCAGCATCCTCCTGGTTATGGCTACAATCCTCCGCAGTATGTTCCACCAATTCCTTACCAACATGGTGGCTATATTGCTCCACATGGCGCGCAAGGCTATGCTCAGCCGCCTCCTTACCAAAGCCGAGGCGGGTACCAACCTCGTGGACCCAGTGGGAGATTCCCATCAGAGCCTTACCAGAGCCAATCACGGGGAGGTCACCATGACTCTAGAGGAGGGGGGTATTCTGGTAATCAACATCAACAACAACAACAACAACAACAACAATGGCATGGTCAAGGTGGGTCCGAGCATAATAACCCACGAGGGTATGGTGGTCAGCATAATCATCAACAAGGTGGTGACCGCGACCGCAGAGGAGCAGGAGGAGGAAGAAGAGGAAGAGGAAGTCATCATCATGATCAAGGCGGGAATTCGTTTACCGCATTGCGTCCTAGACATCGATATTGAGCACAATGGTACTACTCCTGACTCTCTCCTAACCGTATCAATCATCAGGTGTAGTTGAACTCGTTTCATATGTTTGTTGTATCATTAGAATTGGGCGGCTCTTGGTCTTAGCTTAATGGGAATAAGAGCAGCTGGGAGAAACTATAGGTTACATAAGTGTTCCATACCCTTTTCGACATTTTTATTTATCATCATTTGGTGTATCATTTATATACAGATGCTTTGTATTGTACCTTGTTTTTAAACGATTGTTTGGTTTTATTCGGTTAAACTATATAACACATCTGCTTATTTACTGGTTTTATCTTTCTGCAAAAGGCTTCTGTCATATCTTCAAAACTTCTTGTTACATTTTGATTTTAATTTAAAGAACATTCAGATTCAAAAATGAAAGGTGACATAGGACAATAGTTTAATGATAAAAAGAGTTAATATCACAGGATCTGATACAACAAAAATTCAGCATAGCTGTTTATCTTCATTTCAATCTATTGTTTTGTATTTTCATAATTCCTCAGGCGATTTTCCTCCTTTTATGATCCCTGTAAATAAAAATAGAGTTTTCTTTTTAAAAGATGATGATTAGAGAGTTAAAGGTAGTGTACAAATTAACTAACCTATCCGTATGCAAAGCTTCCTCAGACTTATTTTCGAGCCACTTAACGCATCCTGTGTTTTCGGGAAGTAGAGATCCAGCTATATGCATTACCTCTTCATCAAAACTGCAGAATTATCTCGATTCAGTTACCTAGAATTCTAATATAAAAAAAAAAAAAAAAAAAAAAACAGTAGAGCAGAGAAGCTACATGTTTTACCTTTGGACTTGAAGGCGCAACATAGTTCCAAGCTTTAGTGCATGCCGTTTATGCGATCTGCTCACGAAAGAACCTTCACCATCTCTCTGAATAGAGAAAAGGTTAAAGTCCGTTTTCACAAGTTGGAAGACAGCAATAAGTACGTTCAAGACCTATAAATCATACATACCACTCTGTACTTGAACTCTTCCCGGATATCAACGTCTGTAATGACTGCAGCAGAAAAGCCAAGAACAATAACATGGATTGACTCTGGAGAAATCTTCACAATTTTCCCTTCTGCATAGAACAAACAAGAGAAATTAACCAACCAGCATTGCTTCAAACACATTAGATCACTAGCAAGAAACTTTAGTTGAGAACTTACCTACAAAACTTTTGGGCTTAGGATCAAAAAGGAGTAGTCTAGTGTTAACTCTGACGCCAAAGTAAGGATGAAGTCCTGCAAGGATTTTAGCTTGTTTGCTTTTGACAGTAGCATCATAAGCCAGTAGAACGCCATCAAAGGTTTCATTATACCTTCAGAACAAAGATTGATACACAAAAATTATAAGAAAACCAAAGTACCACCAACAAACATTGCATCCAGAAAGCTCGATTCGATAAACCGCTATTAGCAACAGTGAGTTCTTGTAACCTATAAACTTTAAGAATCACAACCTAAAAATCGAAACTTGATCCCAAAGAAGAAAGCTTTAAGAAAGTAAAAAAAAAAGAAGAGAAGAAAAAGAACGAACTGGAATAGAAGAGAACTGAGCTCTCGACAAATCGCCTGAAAAACGTTTCTGCTTTTCGAAGGATGAATATAAATCATCAATTCCGCTTCTGATAGCTTTAACCCCTCCATTGAAGATCCAATTCCTGTTCATACAAAAAAAAGCTTCAATTCTGAGAATTTATATAGCGGCGGGTTTTATCTTTTAAGAATGAGCTTAGGGTTTCCAACTGAACATAAGCCTTAAGTCTCAAATCAAAACTGGACTCCATGAAACGTCGAACTCTACGAAATTGAATCTAAACACAGAATTTGAAGTCTCGAGCAGAGGATGACATAGAAAAGAATCTCACCTTGCAGGGACAAAACTTGTAACCGGAGAACTAAACCGACGATTTTTGATCCTGAGCAGAGCAATCGAAGACGAAGAAGAAGATGCCTTCGTCGTCTAAGGAGACTAGGGTTTCCTCACGCGACAAAGGGTTTAAGGTCAAAACCCAAATACCCGGTTCGTTAATCTTACCGACATTTTCCGGTTTTCAGACCAAACAAAGTCAGGACAGTTTGGTTTTTAAGAATCTTACCGGACTGTATTTCTGTTTCATACCGATTGCAACATTAATTTTTTATTTTTCGTTGCATCAATGTGTTGTTACCTATAAGTATGGTGTGTTTTGTAATTTTTATTTTATTTGATTAGTCTATGTTTCCTTCTAAATTTTGGATTCTTAGAGCACTAATAAAAATGAATACACACATACGGATTTAAATTTTTGGATTCTTAGAGCACTAAATTTTGGATAATTGTTTTTTTAACACTCATCAACATATCAAGCAATACACAACGTGATTACACACACACGAATTTAAAAAAAAAATTACAAATAAAAATGAAGCAATGTGATTCCAATAAAAGGCACAAAAAAAGGGCTCACTTCAACGATTGTAAAGCAGAAGATGTAGTGACAAGACTAGACAAGAGACCAACGAGGAGTGCATTGTTGTAAGTGGTTGGTTCGTTCTGCATCGGGTTCTCTCGTGAGTCAGTGAACGTCTCGTTGAAGAAAGGCCCACCTACGAGTGCACCATATGCTATGTTTGGGTTTGGTTTCGTTGAGTTAAACCATTTGAATCCATCTAAGCAACCCGTGGTTGCATCTGCCGGAATCGAAGCTCCTCTATGATGCACAAATTGTGGGTATTTGTCTCCATAACCCACCACGAAGCTTGTTCCCAGCGGATTCTTCCCCAGCATGTAATCAGCCTGCAGGAAGAAACTCTAGTGAGTCTTCTTTGACTAGTTTGGTTTTGTTGTCTACAGATTTTCATGTTTTGTTCTTGTTACCTGCGATTTGGCGAAATCTCTGAGCTCTGTTGCTTTGAAGATTTTCCCGTCGCATGATATTTTATGGATACGGGAAGTGAGCATGTAATCACTGAAAAGCGAGGCTAAGAATGCTGAGGAAACGGATTGTTGCATCGAGTTCCATTCACTAACCCATATAAGACCACCTATTGAACAAGAGATTTAAAAGATCCAAGCCTTATTATAAGAAATTAAGTGAAAGAGGCTTTATCTTCTACGCGATAATAAAGTGAGATTACCGTTTGTTCTACTAGCTGTAGCTGTTGGAGACTTTGGTAGAAGTCCACACATGACAGCTTTAGCTGTGTTCCTGTAATTTCCAAGTCCCTTGCTTCCTGATAAATCTTTTTTAAAGAAGAGTAATCTTGATAATAGTACCTGCAATGATTGAGAAGCATAAATGTTCTCCGAAGAAAAATATACACAGAAATGCATCAACAGTTTCTTCTTCTTCCAAACTAACCTGTGTTCCTGCAAGCTTGTTGTCCCAACTAAACCAAGTTGGATTTCCAAAACTAGCAAATTCTTTTCCATGATTAGACACATAATCAAGGTAAGTTTTGTCCTCTGTTGCATGATACAACCAACTAGCTGCCCATAGTAGCTCATCCCCATATCCCGTCGAATTGTAAAACTTCTGAACCTCTGGAATGTTAACACTGTAAGAGCCTCTCTTAGTTTCTGCAAAATCAAACAACTGCTTCGCATGCTTCAGTAGCGTTGCTGAATATTGAGGATCACTATCCTTAAAAACCAAAGATGCTGAAGCCATAGCTGCAGCAGTTTCCGCAGCAACCTCTGTCCCTGGAGTATCTGCATCAATTTTAGTGAGTGGTCTCTTCTCTTTCATATCCTCTGGTCTCTCCCAGCATGGATGATCTACTTTCGGATCTCCCACCTAACATCAAACATAAATCATCACAACACTAACAAGAGAGAATCATGAATGATTTGAAGTCCAAACCTGAATATAGAGGACATTATCAGAAGGATGAGCTTTGATAAGATAGTCAGTGGTCCACCGGAGCGAGTCTTTAGCAGGATCCAATTGGTTCACTACATTCATTTGATCACCATACTCAAGAATCGACCATGACAAAACTGTAGCAGTGAAAGCCATTGGAAAACCAAACTTAATATGATCTCCAGCATCATATAAACCCTTGGAAAGATCAAGATTGGCTTCACTTCCATCTTTAAGACCTGAATCTCCTCTCCAAGATATCTTATTGTTCGCCAATTTACCAGCTACAAGCACAATCATTATGAATCAAATCACACGAAATCAGTGGAGACATCCAAGATTAGAAAGATTGAAGCAAAGGAATGATGATTACATTTCTGGATATCGAAGAACTGCAAAGCGAGCTTGAGAGCGTCGGCGTATTTCTTATCAATGGCGCCGGGAGGTCCAGGAACGGGACCACCACCACCATCGTCACCGGATTTCTTCATTCTCAATTTGACAGTGTAAACGACGGCGAGGACAACAGAAGCTAGCACAATAATCGCGATAAACCAACCGCACCAACCTCTTGACTTGGATTTCTCCCCCATTTTTCGAATTCCACGAGGTAGAGAGTAAGAAACCACAAGAGCTTGGTTAGATCGGAGGTCAATGTAACTGCATTCACCGATCGGAGAAGAGAAAGTAGCTTCCCGGATCTAAGATTGAGAGATGGATTCGTATTTTTGTTGATGAAGATGGAGAAGCAAGTGATAGGTTGAATCAAAGGAAGGTGGAGAGAGGAGTCACTAACACTAAATCAAATCCCAGTTTAAAAGTCGGTGGAGTATCAAGCGGGATTTCAGATCTATTTTTTCCTCTCCTTTAGGATTTTTCCTTTTATTTTTTTGAAAATGATTTTGTTTTATATACAAATCAAGGGTGAATTATCATTACATGTAAGAGGAAACTACCGAAATACCCCTTTAAATACCCAATAATTTAAGCAATTAAGCCGAGTCCAACTCTGGTCACTGTCACTGTCACAACTGTCGGTCCCTATATTATTCATTTTACTTGTACACATTAATAATATCTAATTATAATATGATAAAAGTTTGTAGCTCAAAATATAAAATTGAATAATTATTTTTATTTATTGGAACAACAAATTCTACAAGTTAAGGAACAATTGGGCTAGTGGTGCTTCACTTTTGTTGCCATTATCTTATCAAGCCAGGCTTCGATCCATTACGCAAATGAAGACTAAATAAGTAAATAATATTAAAGAAAAAAAATAGACTATGGGCCTGGGCTTTTCAAAGCATTTGATTTCGTTCAATTTGGGTACTCAAATTCGATTAGTTTCTTTAGATTTTGAGCTCAAGTCGCTTGATGATGACCTAATTTCTTGTATCAAATTCGGGTTTAATTCGGGTTAAATTTGCTTTAACCTGTAGGTGTTACGTCATTTTAATCAGTGTCAGGTGTAAAGTCTCTCTGTCTTGAGGATATCTTGTGATAAATAGGGCTGATGATGTCTTATTCTAGTCTTTGAATGACAGATGTTGATGATGGATGTTGAAACTGATCAACAACCAAAGCAAGAGCTATCGAGAAAGAGATGGGACTCCGTTTCTTGACAAGGTTTTAGCTGACTTGGTGGTTAAACAGATCCAATCAGGAAATAGATAACAATGTTTTTCGATAGAAAGACATGGAATAACATATGCGTAACCCATGGTTGAATGCGTCTTGGAGAGACTTTCCTATCTCGTAAAAGTAGCAAGTTACAGTTGACATGGTTGCACGGTAAGTACATGAAACTGTCTTCTTCAATTGCACAGCTAGGTTAACTTTAAGACATATGTAGCAAGCTCATTGTTGTTGCATGTAAGCCAAATCGATTTGGTCTTTTGTAGAAATTTTTTGGTTGGTGATTGATGATAGAAATAGTTCAGGAGGGAAAATAGTATCAACTTTAAGATGAAGATACAAAGTTGTTATGTCAATGTTACTTCATTATAACAGAAGAAACATCTGATTGAACTCTGGCGGTTTTCTTTAACAGTTACAATATCCATGTCATGATTTCTCTCAACATGTTTGGTGAACAAAACAGTATTGTACAATGAAGAAATGTGAGAAGGGAGAAAAAGAGACTCTTGGATATGTTCTCTAGTGCAAGGTACTTAGTCATCGTCCTTGAACTCCCTGACCATAAGAAAAAGAAGAGAAGAATCAAGTTAGCATCTCTACAATGTGCAAAAAAAAAACAGATTGGCTCTGATTCACAATAATCGTGTAGTACCTTCGATCAAGGTATCGAGGTTGAACACCAGAGCCTTGACAAGTAGTGCAAGTTAAGGAACCAGCACCATCACAGTTGATACAGTTTGAGACTTCTTTCTCTCCTCCACCAAGTTCTACGGTCACATTACCACTTCCCACACACAATCTGCATTTCTCTGTTCCACCACCAAAGAAACTATTTCTTCAGTTCATCATAATATATGTTCATAAACATCTTGTACACATCAAACATTTTGCTCTTATACCAAAAATGCTAACAAAAACTCGAGAGAGAGAGAGAGAGAGAGAGAGAGAGAGAATCGATTCACTTACGAGCTCCGGTACCGTTACAGGGAAAACAAGGTTGAGTATTCTCTCGCTTAGCCTACGAAGTTGTGTAAAGACGGAAACAGTCATCACACACCAAAACTGTAACTTTCACGAATCGATTTAACTGAGAAGAGAATCAGAAGACTCACGGCATTGTCGATTTGTGTCTCGTAGAACACAGGAATACCAATTCCTAATGCGACGCTTGCTACGCCAACAGAGATTGCGACGACCTAATAATTACGAAAAAAACCAAAATCGATTATCAATTTTGAACTAGTGAGAGCGAAAAAAGTCGATAGATAAGGATCAAAACCGTGTTGGGATCGAGTTCAGCTTTGATTCGGGGATAAGATGTAGCCGGCGACCGGAAAGAAGACGGAGTGAAATTGATGGGACGGTGAATGAACGGAGATTGAAGAAGACGAGGCGGAGATGGAGCTGAAACTGGCATTTTCGATTAGCACTTGTCTTTGTTGGTGTGAAGCTATCGCTTAAGCGCGCGAAGATGAGAGGAAGAAGAAGAAGAGCCAGTGGTTCTTGGTTTTGGGTTGATCTCAGCCACTAGATTATTCACTATACGGTTATCGTTTTGTTGACGTGGCTTTATTCCATTTGATTAAAGGCTTTTTGTTTTCCATATTACGCCCTTATCCACTATTGGAGAAGAGGAAGAAAATTATCCGGTGCGATGAGATACGGTACACCCGCTCAGAAGTAAAAGATCGTATCCGTCAAATATTAAATCCAACGGCTAATAACATCTAAAAGTCGTGGTTGTTGACTATTTTAAAACCGCACTGTTTCAAGTTGAAACTCTCAAGTAGAGAATTTGAAACAAGGATTCGCAAGTCACTATCCGATACGATATTAATAATATACCGTTGCTTCATTTTTTGTTTCTCCTTTCTCCATTCGCAAGTCACAATCGTAACCGCCGTCTAATCCGTTCGAAATCATTTTTCTGATAAGGTATGTTATTCTTCAACCGCTTAAAACGTTAATTGCTTTCTTCTTCATATTCGTCTTTATGATTGATTCGTTTTAATCAGTGTAATCGAATTGAAGTTGTGCATCAATGCTTAGACGATTGTTTTGTCTCTGTCTTTTTGTATTTTGGATATAGTTCATGATATAATCATTTCAATGAATTGGTGATTGAGAATTTATTTCTGATTAGAAGATTCTTTTGTTTTTTAAATGTTTTAGCAGGTGATCACAATGATTGGATCGTTTCTGACAAGAGGACTTTTGTATGTTACTCAATAACTTTGATCTCTTCTTTTGATTTTATAAAACACATTTTCTCAATCAAACTAAAGTAATGAATCTTTCAATTGGTTGATAGAATGGTGTTTGGATACGCATATCCTGCTTATGAGTGTTTCAAAACGGTCGAACTCAACAAGCCTGAGATTCAACAGCTTCAGTTCTGGTGTCAGTATTGGTATATGATTAGCTTCTCTCATATGTTATTTTCTTGATCTCTCTACCCTTTTAGGAATTCCTATATAAATCTTGCTTGCTTCCTCTCTCAAAACATCTTTGCAGGATTATTGTAGCTGCTTTGACGATTATCGAAAGAATTGGTGATGCTCTTGTTTCTTGGTAGGTTGTTTTATATTACTTAAGATAGAAAACAAAGACTTTTTACTGTATAGTATACTTAATAATACATGTTTTCATGTAATCTTGAAGGCTACCAATGTATAGCGAGGCGAAGTTGGCATTCTTCATTTATCTCTGGTTCCCAAAGACTAAAGTAGGTAAACTATTTTATCTTTTTGATTCAACTAGCCTTTTCTCTAATTTTATTCCTCTGTGTGACCATTTCAGGGAACTACATACGTTTACGATTCTTTCTTCAGGCCATATATAGCAAAGCATGAAAATGAAATTGACCGCAACTTGATGAAGGTAAGGACTAGAGCTAGGGATATGGCAATGATATATCTTCAAAAAGCAATCAACCAAGGACAGACCAAATTCTTTGAGATCTTGCAGTATATTACAGAACACTCAACACCAAAATCTAAGTCTGAGGTAATTAATTTCTTCATCTCTACCGCTCTACGCGTGATCTTTCTACTCTTCTCTGACTCATTATAACATTTGAGTGAACCTCAATAAAAGTCTTACTCTTTTTCTATTGTGAACAGGAAAAGAAAGAGACAACTCCACCTAAACTTGTTGATCCAATTCTTAAAGTGAAAGAAAATGAAGTCACTAAAATGAGATAGAATCATTCGAGAGGAAAACATTAAGACAGGGAAACTATTGGGGAAAACACACTGTACTAACTACTAACTAACTATATGCATTATCATGTAGCCCTCAAATGTAAATTGTTTCGGAGAAAAAATATAAAATGTAAATTTTACCAAAAAAATGTACATTTTAATCCATTGAAGTTGTTTGGTAGGAATCATTAGAATCTGGCTTGAGATGGGCCTAAGCCCAAATTCTTTTCACGCTTGTTTCTGGTGGTTATCAGCCCATCTCTCCATTCTCTTAATCTACTGGTGTCATTGACAAATAACTCATACAAACGGAGAACTAATTCGCATACATGATAATTTTAATCAAAATTATTTTTATGTTTAGTTTTAAAATTTTGAACTGAATTTAGTAAGTATAATTATATGAATTCTATGAAAAATATCTTTATTTTTGTTTTAAGATCTAAACAAGAGAAAAACTGAAATTTGAATAGGATGTAGAATGATGCTTTTAGAATTACTTTGACGAACCGACTCGTAAAAACCCGCAAAATATCGACTTCGTTGTGGATCAGGTTAAAATGGGACGGGTAGCGGAGCTGATTGATCCGCTCTAACATCCCCTACTCAAATCTTTTATTTTAAAATTCAAAAAATTACACTAGGTCAATATTACAGTACATTGTTACGCCAAAAGGAAAAAGAGTTCAAAAGAAAAAGAGTTAAAGAATTAAAATAAAAAAAAAACACTCTGCAAAGTAAATCATAAAATGATTGGTGTTAAACATAAAACTAATACGTAACCATATATATATATAGGAAGGACCACACGGCTACAACCATATTAGTATCATTTTGTGGAAAAACACATAGATATTTACAAAAAAAAAATATATGTGGAGATACCCTATCCAATATGGCATTGTATTTGCACTTACAAATTACCAAATTAACCAATAGTACGTGTAAAAAAAAGACCAAGCCGAATGCAAAACTTCATAAATTAATGAGTTGTGTAGAGAGACCAATAATTGAAGAAGGATGCAAAACCGAATGATTGATGAATCCACTATAAAAATTAGGGACCATTTTTGAATGATGGTTGTTGTATATCTATCTACTCAATCAATTGCATTTATTGATATGAAGCTAATTGTATGATCCAGTGTGAAACTAAAGAGTGTCAGCAAGAATCTCCTATCCTTCTTTTTTCACGACTTTGTTTGATTCTCCACAAGCCAACCTGATGCGAATTCCCAATTTGGACTCTACTTCTAACCAAGTCAGCAGCATAACAAACACAATTTTAGGTAGTAAAGACCAAAACCAGGCTCGTTTTCTCACATCTAATTTTCTACAATTTATTTGATTATAGAATGAGTGTGTGAAAAGAAATACATTGCAGTTGTTACAAGTTCTCTAGTATTAAAATAGACCGCATGCTTTTCATTTATACTGTATCACAATGTATTTCAGCACTTTCGTGACAGTTCTTTTTGGCATATGACTATAGTTTTACTATAGAAGTTTGCTTTAGGAGATGGAACATGATACAATAAAGTACTTTCAAGGTAATGCAAAACAGTAATGGATATGAACAATTTCTTTTAGGAAAATCTCACATAAAAAGATAAGTTTTCAATTTTTTGGGTGGGAGAGATGTAATCTAATTAATTAAAATCACTAGAAAACTCATAATTTAAATCAACATTATCATTATAGGAAATGGGGACACAATTGTCTCTATTTTTTGCATATATTTAAACCGTTTTGCCAAACTTTTGATACCCCAAATCACACGTGCACTTTATAACATGGTAAACGAATACATTAGTAAGAGTAACACTTTTTTTTTTTTCTTTTTTTCTTTTTTCTAAGAGTAACACCATTTTGTATCTAGAAGACTAGAAATATCTTCTTTGTCACAGAACTGTGTCTGAAATCTTACAAAAATTTCAAAACATATCTGATAAACGTTAAATTCATGAAAAGATCGATTTATATTCAAAATACTGTGTATAATACGAAGTTCTCTCTCTGTCGGTGTTTTAAAAATCATCTATCGTTCGTGGGAGAATTCACCTCTTGTGCCACAAATCGAGAAATGTTAATCGCTTATGCCACCGTTATGTTTTCCATTTTCTTATTCAATTTCTTTTAAGTCCAAATCGTTAGAAATGACCAAAAGCCCTTACAAAAAACAGAAAATTACCACCCAACCTAAAGTATCCGATTACCTGCTCCAACCCGATGATCAGATCCAAATCCACAAATTACTTTAATTCCTAAGTTTAGAAATTCAGTAAAAGAAAAACAGAAAAAAAAATTAAAAAAAAAAAAACAATCGCTCAACATCTTCTTCTTCTCTTTTCTTCTCTGCAAACATCTTCTTCATCATCAAATTTCTCATCATAACCAAACTCATCACCTCTATAACCAGGTTAGCTTGGTAACTAGATTCATTCTCCATTGGATCAAGTCTAAAAGCGAATCCAAATCTACCAGAAGCTTCCTTCTCTCCGCCGGAATCTCACCGATTTCTCCGTAAAAGCCTCGCCGCCTCACTCACATCAAAACCCCAATTCACTTCACGAAAAAGCTCTCCACTTGTATATGTACCAACATCGAAAGGGAAATCTGAGCAAGTCCCATGAGCTCCAATCGAGCAACATCTTGGAGTCCCACTCCGATCACTACTCCGACCAGACACCGATATCGAATTGCGATGCCGTCGCTTCCTTGCTACTAACCAGAAACTTTTTTTCTATTGCTGTAATTAGAAGCTGATAATGTCTTTACTCCATTATCGTCGTCGGTGAGTGAGATACGGCTCAAAGCTTTGATGGAGAAAGAGGTGGATCAATCGGAGAAACAAGGTTTTCGAGCGATGAAATGGTTGCAAATAAAGGAGCTGTGAAGTGCAAGATTGAATTGAGTTTCATGATGATTCTAAATGTTTATGTGACATTGTTAAAGCTTTGAACTTTACGGTTCACAGAAAGTGAATAAACCCAGAAAAACTCTTTGGGCAAATCTGAATTTGGGAATGGATCTGTGTAATTTTAAGTTGTAGTGTATTATAATAATATATATAGCTGGTCCAACTGAAACATATAAGACATGGAGGGAGTGAGTGAGGCTTATGCAAAACATTAAAATAGAAAAACATATAAAGCATTTGTACCTAGTAGTTCTGGTTGGACCTGGTAAAAGAACTAATAAAAATATAAATGAGAATACAAAAACCAAGAAATATCAAAAAAAATTCGCCCAAAACCCTAATTTATCTAGACTTTTCTCGTTTTGAAAAAGAGAAAAGTGAAAGAAAAGAGAGAAGGGATGGAAGAATAAAGGAGAAAGTGAGATATGAAAGAAACAAATTCCGTGGGCCCGGATTGAGTCAGTAAAAAAGTAGTGTGAACAGAATATTTAATATTTTGGTGGGGTTCTTGACAGCAAAATAATATTATTTAATAGGGTAAAATGTACATAGTTGTACGTAGATGTTTAGTTGTCCTGATTGCCTCATAGTTGAACTAAATGAGATTTTGTAAATTTGGAGTTGAACCTTAATAAGCAACATAATTTTCTAGTTGGTCACATTATTTATTACATTATATTAGTGTTTAAGAAGTTTTGATATGAAAAAATTAAGGAAATCATAGATTTTATATTTATATCAACAACATAGGTGATCATGAACTAAATGTTCCTTCTTAAGTAAGAAGTGAATTGTATGAAAACAAATTTACGAGCAAGTAAAATACTAATGTTAAATATTATATTGTATATAAGTTATTGTATTTTGTAGTTGTTAAATGTTCAAAATTAATTTAAATTGGGATAAAATTCGATTAATTTTTAATAGAAGTTTTTTGTTGTCGGCTCAGTTGACCCAGTTGAACGTCTTATTTGTCCCGGTTTAACCAGAAACTTAAACTCATACAAATACAAATCATAATACAATATAGTCTTAGTTGTCTAGGTTGAACTAAGAACTTAAACTCATACAAATACAAATCTTAATACAATATAGTCTTAGTTGTCCCGGTTGAACCAAGAACTCATAGTTGTCCCAGTTGAACCAAGAACTCATAGTTGTCCCACTTGAACCAAGAACTTAAACTCATAGTTGTTCCAATTGAACCATGAACTTAAACTCATAGAAATACAAATCATATTTGAAGCACAATTAACTCATAGTTGTCCTGGTTGTACAGTGAATTTTTGACAATCCACTCATTTCCTTCTGAATAATACCCTCCATAGTCCAAATGTACGTTTGTGTGGATCTTCTTCTTCATCTCTTCTTAAAAATACAATAATTTAAAACACAATTATCTACACCATAACTCACAGTAATACTATTTGTACCAGTTGGCCTATAGTCTATCATTGTACCAGTTAATCTCACTTAGTTATATCATTTGTACTAATTCATACGTTTTCGTAGAATAGATCCGTCGGCCTCGACTCTAAATCGATTCAATAGAAGAACGATTTACATTCGATTAATTACCAATGCAAATACCTATTCGGCAATCTACATTCGATTAATCTCCTTATTTTTTCCTATCAAAACTTCTTAAACACCAATATAATGTGATAAATAATGTGACCAACTAGAAAATTATTTTGCTTATTAAGGTTCAACTCCAAATTTATAAAATCTCATTTAGTTCAACTATGAAGCAATCAGGACAAATAGACATTTACGTACAACTATGTACATTTTATCCTATTAAATAATATTATTTCGTTGTCAAAAACTCCACCAAAATATTAAATATTGTGTTCACACTACTTTTTGATTCGTGTTTGACTCAAATCGGGCCCACGGATTTTGTTTTTTTTTTAAATAATTTTTTTCCTTTTGATTTTCTATTTTTGTTTTATTTTGGAATAGAGTTCATTAAGGGTAAAAAGGGAAGTTCACAATCTTAGTGGCATAGAGATTATGTGATGGCATGCCAGATTAATTTTTTCAAAATAGTGGCATAAGTGATAAAAATTCCGTTCCTGGCTCTATATTTAATGGCATATTCAAAGCACTTGAAGTTATTCAAATTGGGAATTGGAAGGGTTCTCTTTACTGCAATACAAGATGGGTAATATTAATATTAAATTTATATCAATGTTGAAGTTATAAATGGAAAAATTTTATTAATCACAAACCAATACTAACCAGCCACGTTGTCAGTAGCGA